GTGATTTACCCACCAGAGTACCTGTAAATGGCAACTAGCAAGATGTCAGATACGTTAATGATTCTTGAAACTATATAAGTATATTGCAAACATAAAATTCTCACCTGTTAATTGGGGAAAACAAATCACCAGAAGAACAGGTCTCCAGCAGGACAGACAGATAGGGTTTTTGAGACCTAGAGATATTGAACATTTTGAAGTGTAAAGTCTGCATAAATACTTTAGAATGTGTCCCTATTTCCTCATGCCTCTGAGTAAAAAAATTAAAGGATGCTGGAAAAAGTACAAAGACTGTATAAGTAAAGAAGTAAATCCATGGTTTAGGAACAATTGCTGTCTCCTCATAACTGTACTCATAAAATGCAGAAACAAAATTCATGCTTTCTTTCTGGAAAGATCAAGGGAGTCTTTAGCACAAGGCACTAGGATCTCATCCAACACCAAATTGTATGTTTTTCTGCCTCTCTCAGTGTTTTACAAAGCTTGTTTATTTTCTCTTTTTATCCACGTTTAAATGTGACAGAAAAACTCAAAGGGGCAGCATTTGGGGATGCATTTCCAGCAGAAGTTGTGAAAAAAGGCAGGGTGAATGTGCAGCCCTCTTCATTAAAAAATCATTTAAGCATGTCAGCAGCCTAACATAAAGCTGTATTGGATAAGCAATACAGGTCTGCTCAAGGTGCTCAGGTTCCTCACAGACTGCTAGTCTGGGACTCAAAACATAGCAGCAGTATTCCTCCAGCCCCGCTGCCTTGTCCCTGGATCATAAATGGTTACTGAAGGAGCACAAAAGCTGCAGCTATGTGGTTTGATAATGATCTGTCTTTGCCAGGTAAAGTAGAAGTGATGATGATACAAATGGTTCAGCAGCCAACATGCTGCAGCTTTAAGCCTCATCTTCCAAAATTCATTCTGCAGAGCCATGTGTGCTGAAATATTTTTCTTTAGCCATTTAAAATAAAATGTCATTATACTCAAATACCTCTGACACCCAATCGTGAAAGCAACCAACACATCTGGCAAAGATACAAGGTGAACAAGTTATACCTGAAGAATCCTACAGATCAGGACTAAGATTTTAGCAACAGAGATAAAGATTTTATCAACAGTGTGACAAAGTTGGCTTCTCATCTAATTACACTACAGTCCTAGTATAAAACCTCCTCTTTGTGAATGAACAAAAACATTGGTCAAGGTTTAGGGCAATAGTGGAAAGAAGAAACAATCTTCCCAAAACCATGGGAAACCATGACAGGGCAAAGACCTGCCTGTGAGGTCCAGATTGATAAAAGCTGTTTCACCAGGTTGGGAGGCAACAGTTCAAAGGATCACTAGCTGTGAAAAATTTCTCTAAAAAACCTGCATGAGTAAGAGTAGTAAGGTGCTGCAAGTTATCCAAAATCATCTTCAGGACCTGTGACGGGAGAGTGTCACAGGAGAAGACTCAGAGATCACTCAGACAGATCTGATCTAGTAGTTAGTTTATTGAGTTCTAAGAAGTAAATTTATGTATGTAAAATATTTAGTAAGGACAGATGGATTGGCGGTCAATACTCTACTATTTACTACACTTAAAGTTAGTAAGGGATACAAAGATTATCGCATAAGCTTACTACACATATCTTAAACGTTACATGCATGCCAGAAATGTCACTTACCAACCCATCAATGCCTGGTGTCAGGTAAGGGATGCCTCAGTCTCAAGGGGTAATCTTGAGAGGCGTCCCTACTCAAGGGGAGATCATTGCCACGCAGCCAGCTGCTGTGGAGGGAGAGCTCAACGGAACCTGATGGCTGCAGATATTTATAGTGTAAAGTCGTATTTTCTGCTGTGTTAATGCAGTTTTGACCACTTATCAGCCCACTCTCCAGCCAAACTGGGTTTTGGTGGTTTGGTGTCAAGTTCTCAGTGATAGCCTCACACAATAGGATTAACTTCAGTTAGGCCTACTTGCTGAGCATCTGCCTGGACCAAAGTTCAGTTAGCTCAAACAGGAGGAGTGCATCTGTCACAGAGAGAAAGCAGCTATGGATAGTTACAGTTAACCTAAACCATAAGGAGAGGCTGAACATATCTGTTTACCATCCTAAAAGATGCGCATTCAGAACAGGCACAAGTCCACAGTATCAGCTGAGTCTTTGAGCTACTAAACTTGCAGCAGTTTGAAATGAAGTATTATGATATTTTGCCTTGGTTCGGTCTAAAATTCTAGTTCAGTCTCAGGCATGACCCTCAAAATGATAATAATTGTGGTATGAGTCTGAGCACTCTTTCCATTTCCATCTTCTTTCCCAAATATTTATCTTTTTTTTCTTTAGTTTACTACCTGAATTACACTAGACCTCTTAAAAATAATAATAAAGTAACAGTTACTGTGGAAATACAGCTTTTTTTATTCTAGTGTAACTAAATTACGTAGTTGTATTTTATTTTGAATACAGCAGCAATTTGTTCTGCTGAAGTGGGTTTATTTTTCTGAGGCATGCAGGGAAGAGGGATGAAAGAGAGGTTGGAAATTTAGGGTTATCTGTGGCCCAACACATGCAAAGTGCTTCCCTTAGTTTTCCTGTGGTGACAAGCTGTTCAGTGCTTGCAATTTATATGATGCCTTTTAATTAAGCTGGGAATTCACTGAGCATGTGTTTAGTTTGAGATGTACTTTGTTCTTCTGCTGAACTGTTGTTCAGTATTTTCAGTCCCCAATGCGCAGACTGCTTCACTTTTGGCATTAAAGAAGAAGGACATTTTGCTGGGTGGTGGTGTCACCAAGCCCAGTGACGCAAAGAAGACGTCTGCTTACCAGGCTGTCACACTTCCCTTCAGTGCTATGCAGATGCCTGTTGCTGCAGAAATTGCGTAGGAAATTGCAAAGTGTTGTGAGGATGTTATGATCAGACTGTTATGTGGCAATACTGTATTCACCCACTTATTGTCAGCACCTGCAGAGCTACCCATGAGAAGGGAGATGTCCCTCTTTCCCACTGGTTAAGGGAGGAAGGCTTTCTCTTCCTTCTGGCTTCTCATCTGCCTGCTTGTCTGCTAACCTCTGTGGCACAGTTTGTCATCTGTGGCATGGGAAGCACATCATGAGCATGTACAGTAGAGGGGCTGATCTCATCAGCTCACATTTTTATTGTGTTTTGAGATGAGATGTACATAGAAATATGTATTTCTACCCACATTACCTGTGCACTACAGGTCAGAGGAGCAGATTGCCTGCACTGCAGGGAAAGCTTCCTTGCCAGTCACTGAAGAGATAAGAAAAACACTAGGAAAAACATCTTTACTGACAGGGTGTTCAAACCCTGGAGCAGGCTTCCTAGAGAGGTCATTGATGCCCCATGCTTGTCAGTGTTTAAGAGGCATTTGACAATGCTCTTAATAATATGCTTTAACTTTTGGTCAGCCCTGAAGTGGTCAGGCAGTTGGAATAGGTGATCGTTGTAGGTCCCTTACAACTGGAAGTATTCTATTCTATTCTAAAACTTGTGGTATGGGGATAGACATCAATTGGTTTGCCAGAAACATCTGTAGATGCCAGGGGGAGAGAAAATAGATAGTTAAAATACCTTTTGCAGCATTTATGCTTTGTCTGAGGAACACTTTGAAGGGTCAAACTAAGTCTAATTTGAAACCAGTCTACTTTAACTGGGGAGGACACCTAACATAAATACTTTCTCACATTAGTTGTTTTAAGCATTATCTGAATCAATTGACTAATTGAGCTAAGCCAGTTTCCTATTACTTCATCCAGTCTGCCTTTTCAGTCTCTAGCATGCTGTACTACTGTTAGTGATACCAAAGTCTCTTACCTCCCTTTAAACCCCGTAGAGCTCTAGGGTCAAGTGAAAGTAAAATAGGTGCTGCAGGAGGGCCACACTGGATTTCTTGGGATACATTCTGCAGGGCTATTTCAGCTGGCAAACTGAAGCTTGTCATCAAAGTGTTGTCTTAGTCTTGACTACTTTATATATCTTCCTTCCCCATCACAGTACACTGTTCTTTGTGCCCTGATGTTTGCTGATCTCTATCCCAGATGGTGTAGCAGTTCAGTGGTGCTGTATGAGTACGAATCTAGGAATGTGGGGACAACATATGTTGCTGAATATGAGTGTAAAATATGTTTACACGATTCCTAATTAAAGATACCACTTAATTAAAAAAAAAAAATAAGGTAGGCTGTACTGGCACAAGGAAAAAGAAAAACAGATAACAGGTATTCATATCAAAATGATGACATAGGTTTCATTAGTAAAGGAAAGGCACTAATAAAAAGCTGCAGTCTCAGTTGCTTCACAAGAAGCAGAGGCCGAGGAGCAGCTATTTCCATGGCAACAAAAGGAGCGAGGGGATTTACACTTCTATATGTTTCAGTGCAGTCTTAACTAAGAGTGAAACTGGCTTGAAAGAACAGCCCCACTATATTAATTCTTATTCTTTATGAATTCTGTATCTCACCTCACTGCCTCAAAGCTTCTATCTTATATAGACGGGTCACTGACAACACATAGCTAAAGATGTTTCTGGACCTGTTAGAAGCCTAATTCTTAGATTATTTATCTAACTTTCTGCTATATAAAATCATGAGTTTGAATAGGTTGCTAATTTCGGTTGAAAATATTTATTCAGTGCCATATGCCATAAATTAGGTTCACAGCGTATAACACACCTAATTCATCCTAGTAATGTGTTGGGAACACTAAATCTAATGTTACTCTAATACAAGAACGTTCCTTCATCTCTAATCTCACCCTGTAAGTATCACTGAAGACTTTTCTTCCATATGCTTATTAAAACAATTTCTATCTTTAGCAAATTTTATCTCACAAAAAATACTGTGTGTTAATCCTATCTAATAAGCTTAAAATAAAATGTATAAAGTAAGATCATCTTGCAGCCATCAGGATGTTTTGAGATCCAAATTATGCTGCCCTGATGTAGTTTCTCTTTAGAAAATTTATCCTGCTTTAAATAATGGTATTGTCTTTTAACATTTCAGATCACAGTATTTCGCATGGGATCAGAAGGACACCAAGATATTGATTTAGCTATCCTGACAGCATTACTAAAAGGTAATGGAGTTTCACTCCACAGTGAGTCTGTATCAATCCAAATGGATTAACTCTGTGTCTCTGCTGTGCTGAAACCTGCATTTATTGACAATATCTACCATATCAAGATGGTAAATTTATCCCGTGAAATTGAAGTATACTTTTTGCTCTAACTGCTTTATACAAATCCAGCTCTTTCTTTAATGTTTAAATAGCTACTGGTTTTCCTTTCTGAATTTTTATTCTCTACCCACAATCACTAATGCATCACAAGAAACATCAGTGGTGAGCCCCCCCACTGGTTACTTGAGAAGATTAGTACTAACAAGAAGACAACCAAATATCTTCTCAGACTTAGATTGCCTTTGCAGCTAGTAGAACATCCAGAAGGAGGTTATCTCCCTTTAGATAAAACTGGCACTATTGTCAAAGTAAAATGTTACCTGTAGTCATTCTAGGAAAGTCTGGTAACTGCGTGGGATTCCTTCCAGCCTCTACTGACAGAGCTAAGAACTCAGCTATTGGGGTGGTAGGGGTTTTAATCTTAAATTTCACAGGTCATTAAATCTTTCTAAGCCATTACATGTTACACTTACACTCTTAAAAGATTGTCTTACAATAAATCTGCTGTTGCTACTGTTCATTATAAACCCTGATCTTGCAGACACACCATTTATCTTGGCTCCCTTCAAAATATGATATTATTAGGTAATTTAATATCTGCTTGCAAATACAGAAACAGGTGAGACTTTAAAGGCTCTGAAGCACTTGTACTTACCCAGTGAAGGATTACTCACCTAAGCAAGGGCTGGGAGGTTCTAGCACTCCATTTATATGGTATTTCCTCAAATGGAATTTTCACAAATTGCATATATCAATCACCATGGTCATCTTGTTGCTGTCTGGATTGTTTTGTGCTATTTAGCACAGGCCATACTGATTTTAAAAACAGAGAATAAGACATACAAAACTATTTTAAACAGCAATCAGAGAAACATTAGGGAATGGACTTCCAAAGGTGACTGGGGAAATTTATGCTTCATGAGGCTCTTCAGCAGTTGTCATCATGCTATTGTCACCCCTACATCTGAATAAGAGGGTGCCTAATGCCATGTGGCGTGAATTTGAGTCATAACAAAAGAATTAATAGATTTACTGAGTATTCAAAAGGTAATGGGAATTATTCTTGCTTGTTCCAGGGCTCAGTTTTCTTCTCAGTTTCTTCCTGTGCAGGCTCAAAAAGCTGGATGAAGAAGAAAGAGAGAGGCCTGAGAAACTTTCACCTAACCAAAAGTGCAAAATAGTATTTTACCTTTTACACAACTATTAATCCCATTTCAAAAATGTTACTTCAAACATTTAAAACAAAAGTCTGAACAGGAGCAGTAAACAAGCACTAGCCAGTTCAAAAGTATGATCGCAAGCTGATAGCTACCAGCCAAGGAATAAGCTGGAATTATTTTGCTCCAGTAGCTTTTTTTTCTTTAGGCTTCTGTAGTATTGCTTTCTCCACTTCTTTTGCTCAGTTCGGTCAAGATACCAGTCATTTGTCCTGCAGGTAACATGACTATTTTGCTGCTACCCTGAGGTAACAACTTTAGCCATCCGCATAATTATGTCAAGGCATTTTGGACATCTTCACAGAGAAGCAATATAAATCAAGGTGAAGAAAGGAAAAGAAAATTAATTCAAAGCAAGGAACAAGAATTGCATCCATCACCAAATTCCTCTTTTCTATCCTTAGGATATATTTTAATTGCAGATTTCATTTTTATCTTAAATATAACTGGATCCTTCATTATCTTCAGTGTAAAGTGTATTCTCTTCACATTTGTTCTTAAGACAATCACTGAAACTACTGCTCTTGGTTTCTGTTAGTAAGATACATATTGCCTTAAAGTTGTGATTCCACTTTTTCTAGGTATATTTTTGCAAGGTCTGAATCCTAACATAGATAGCTGGAGTCTTTTACCACCTTGAAAGCTGCCTCTTGGAAGCTGAAGAAAATAAATCATAGGCCTTAGAGGGATTGTTTTCTGTTTGAAAAGTTCTTTTGCAGTATTTACATGAGCAACTGTACAATGTTTGCAGTCTGGGTATATAAGTAGTCTTCTCTGATCTGGAATATCCATTTTGCAAGTGCCTAATTGGTCCTGTCATCTCCTTCGTAAAATAAAATTACCTTCCCTCTTCATAACAGTAGTGCAAGACATTGTAGTGAACTTCTCTTAGCTCAGAAGATGCCTGGATCTATGTAAGAGATTCTGACATGTCGTTTCATGCTTGCCTGACAATCTTGATTTGGTAATCTGCTGATGGCAGCAGCACTTGTGTCTTGTTGAAGAGCCAGAGGAACTAAAACTTAACACCTCATTCTCCCTGCTCTCAGCAGTTTCTGATTATGAAGGTGCACAATGAAGATTAGATTTATCAGATGCCTCTTGTTCATCTGAGCTCTTTGATCACAGGGAATGAAAGTCCACATAACTTTTTAATCAATGTGTGCAAAGCTGAGATCTCTTGTCTCAGGCAAGTCAGTTGTCCTTATTCATACCATGTCTTTGTACAAAAGTTCTGGCCCACCCTGAAAGAAATACTGCCTTTCTGTAAATATACCCCATCAGACTGATGGATACTTGGGTTTTTCATCAAATCAAGAAACCCAAGGTAGCAATGCTGAAGCACTCGCCTATTGATTTACTAGTAAGCAGATCTGAAGACTGTCTGAATTATCTTGAAATTCCTAAGTTTAGATTCAGGAATTAATCTCTTTCACCCCTTCAGCACTGTATGAAAAGGGAGCAGAGAAAAGTATGAAACTGGTGAGTGATTATTGGTTACTTTCTCTCACTCTTACTGACAAGGATTTTGTAGTTCTTGCTCTCCAGTATTCAAGACACATACCAGCTAATTACCAATCCCACCCTGGTGTGAGTGATTTGTTCAGGGAGTAGGAGGAGGGCAAGAACTGAGAAACGCATATCATTTGCTGCTTGCTGTGTAAAATCTGCAATGTACTAGTCTCTTTTTAAACATCCATCAGGCACACTGCCAATGCAGGAACTCTCCTGGACGGGATATTCCACAAGCCCTAAACCCTGCACTGAATATCAGAGATTATTTTCTTGTTTGTTTCCATGAGTCACTTGTTTAATCTTGTCAGCAGAGGTATCTTTCTTGGAAGTGGTCTCCAATAAACTAGGGAATGGCATCCAAACTGGTTATCAATTTACATTGCAAGGATGTCACAACAGCATATGGCTTGTGAATTCCTTTTTTTTTTTTTAATTTCAAGAGACATGCAAATGTGAGAAGTTTCCAATTGCATGAATTTGTAGGAAGTAAATTTATTGATACAGTTTAACTGTTTCTGCTCTCTTGAACAGTTGGAACTCAAACAGTAATGGATTTTCTCCTTTTGCAGCTGCTAATTGAGCAGAAGGCATATGACAGGGAAGTTAAAGACAGCATATGGAGATTTTCTAAAATATAATTGTTTTGAAGTGGCGTCAAAGATCCTAGTTCACAGAACTGTTGCAATGTCTGGAGCATACTAGCAACACCAGCCATGTTTCAGCTGGTGCTCCAGAAGCCTTCGCAGTGCAATTGTTAGCATTGGGAAAGAGGTGCTGTGCGATATATGCATGTTGTAATATTACTGCCTTGTAACCCTCTGACATAAGCCTTATTAGGCTAATGCAGATCTGATGTCTCTGCATACTTTCCAGCCTGTGAATAAGTCATGATTCATGCTCACTGAACAGACATCATGTAGTGTCAGATGGTCCTGGAAGCCAGTATGATGGTCTGCCAACCATGAAATCACTGACACAGAAGGATTTCAGAGTTAGGCCATATATCTGGTTACTGTCCTTATAGTTGTTGTTGCTATCAGCTTTGTTATTGTCAGTTGATTTGCTAAATGCCAGGAAGATGCTTGTAGCAAATGCAGTGGAAACACAGCCTTTTCACCAAAGAGCTGCTGAAACAGAAGACAACATAGGACCTGCTGAGATGCAGAGCAGAAAATTGTTTTGGATTGCTATTTTCCCTAATCTAATTCTTTTCTTTAAATAATGATTCAGATAGGATGCTGACATGCTTAGAAGAGCTGTGGAAATGAGTCTCCAACAACAATTTCTGTCTAGATAGATCAGGTTTGTGTCATTTCAGCTTTCCAGATTCCTGAGCACTAAGTATCATAGACTATCCCAGAGAATCCTTTAGAGGTTTACATTGATCACAGTAAACTTTAGCCAGTATATAAAAGCCCATAGTCTATCTCTTCAGTAATCTGGGATCCTGCAAGGGCACAACACTCATTGTCTGATGTGTACCATGGCTCACCTAGGATACAGAGTCAAGTTTATGGTCCCAGGCTTTATCATCAAGGAGTATTGCATTTTTGGTCCAAGATATTGGATAGACCATCTGACTTTTACGAGAAGAATCTATGCAAGATATCCAAACAGTCCTGGATGGCTGCCTAAGAGCATAAAGTTAACATCTGCAGAAACTAACAGCTGTCCCAGATCTCCTTCTTGTTCATTCAATTTCACACCATCCTTGCATTGTCTTCTATACCCAGCAATACCTATACTGAAATAAAATACTGCCAAATCAATGCATTGCAACCCGAATGCAACTTTTCTTCTAGAAGTAGATGAAAGAAAGGAATAGTCCCACTGCAGACATTAGTCATATTGTCTTAAAACATTCTTTTGAGGAACATATCTCGTACTCAGACAGACACCAGGATACTAAGTAAATATCACATAGACATTAGTCATATTGCCTAAAACACTATCTAAAGCAGTAAATATGCTATGTTAATTAAAATAATACAACACAACTAAGCAGTGAATCTGTCCATGAGACAGGGTGAAAGAGAAATATAGGGAGAGAAGATGCTAATTTCTCACCACTGACAGTGTTAAGGGCCTAAGAAGTGGTTCCAGTGTGATCCCTGTATTGAGTTGATCAGAGCTGTAGGTTATTAATTCTACCTTATTTTTTGATTTCCCAAATATCCTTTGGCTTTGATTTGGGTACATTGCAGTGACGCTTACAAGTCAGATGAGTCCTCAGAAAGATCACTTTTTGGATTCTTCTTACTGACTCAAATCCATGCTCTGTGGCACCAAATACAATCAAGGAAATGGTTGAAAGGAGATGGTATCTTAAGAAAGCCCACCTCACATTTGTTTTAGGGAGTTTTTCTTATATTAGTGGAATTATTTTTGCTTCTTAAAACTGGACAGAATACCTCCTGAAATAGCCTGAATACTTTCTTTTTCATTTGAGTCAAAAGCCATCAGTCCATCCTGGAATGAAATTGATTAAACAGCATCTGCAGTCCATATGTTGCTCTGTACAAACTTTTACAGATTTTCTTTTCCTTCTCCTCTTGTGTAACACCAGCATAATCCACATTCACCTGACAACCACATAGGGAAGACAGGAAAGAGGAGAAGGGTGCAAGGGCTTTCCAGCAGCAAACCTCACTCTGGGAGCAGCCATCCCACCATGTGCATCAGAGTCCCAGCATGCAGACTTGTAGCGCCCAGTCTACACCCTAGCTGCTGCACTTGTTTGGACCTGAAGTATAAAAACCCCTTGAGAAACCATACATTTCCTTCAACTGCCACTTGTCTGCAGTGCTCTGCAAGACAGTGAAATGAACCATTATGGTAACAAGCACTGAGAAGAGTATCATCTCCAGGGCTGCACATGGACCCACAGGAAAACTTGTCCACTGCTGACAGCCTTAAACACCATGGCGGGAGGTGGGAAGGACGGAGGTTGGACCATGGCTTGCTTTCCCCTTTGCTCAGTATTTGGAGCATGCTCAATAAGCATGAGCAAAGAAGACAATTCTGATGAACTGCTGGGCTTGCGGGCTTTTCTGGAAATGCAGCCACCACCTCGTGCCCCATGCCAGTTGCTCTTTCACATGATCAGATGTGCCAGAAGGTCCTGTGTTCATCCAGCAGCCAGGTCATTCCAAAACATGAAAAGGCCCAGGAATGCTAGGTCACTTGACAGAAACTGGAGAAGACTCCTTGCTAGGGGTCAGAAGGTGTTCATCTGGAGCCTCTATGATTTGGCTTGAGTTTTGGCTGAAGTGGGGGGCAGTCTAAGTAACCCACTTCCTTCCCCAAGTCCATCTGATCCACTCTTGATGCAAAATGGTTTCTATCCCAGCTGCACCCCTGGCTACCCAGACTGTAGGCTGCAGTCAGTTTAGGAAAATCAGGCAGTGGAGCTCCCCCATCACATGTGCAAAATGGTGCCAGGCTGCAGGATTGCCATCACTGCCCCTGGGTTTGAGAGTTCAACCATGCACCTCCTCCTCCTCCACTCACCAGACGGCTTGCCCGAGCACCTGCCGAAGATCTCGCTTCTCCTGCAGGCACATGGATGGGAAGGAGGAGATCCAATGACATTTTGAGAGGATCTGTTGTTTGCTTCAGAAAGGGGGAGAACATTATTTGCTCTCCGTACTTAATTTACAATATCATACCCACCGCGGGTATTTTTTGTTCTGTTTTTATAAATAAAACTGTGGCATTTTTGCCCTTCCCAAAGGTAAATATTTTCTGTTCTTGAATGTTGCATGTTGGTCGTGTAAGAAAGTCAGAAAAGTTCAGATGTCATTGGCATCCCCCATGAGGTGCCTTGTGAGAGCTTTTGTCTGTGTTGTAGTATATAGCAATGAGAAGCAGTGTCTTACGCAAAGGGGTGTTCCTGGTACTTCTTAGTCACAGAAAGGTCTTTTACTGTTTTCATTATTTTTTCTTCTTTTCTTCATTTCTTTCTATCATGCTGCTCCTGCATCACCTACCTTTTTTTATCAGAGCTCATTTCTGCAATAAAATGAAAGTGATCTGCATGATCTACAGTCCACCATCTCCCAAATAATTGCTGTAGATATTGCCAAGTATTTGGCAAAGTTTCATGGCAGTGAACTGACTGCAAAGTTGGGAGTTATAAAATTAAACTGTAGACTAAGCTTCCCAAAGGTCTGCTGAACTAATCCTTCACAGAGAATTGCAGCAGCCAGTTTGTTATGCTTCATGTTTTCTGTGCCTCCAATTTCAGAGTCCACTTTCAACTGGAATAGTGCATGATTTTGAATAGTACTGAAATGGAGACAGAAATGCATTGAAGTAATGAAAATCTCTTGTTTGTCCTCGCTCCATGATATCAGTATAAGAATTAATAAAGACCAGAAAACAGTGGAGGTATGAGGCCTTTAAAAAATGAGCCTTTATACAATCACCTAGTTACTGCAAGCAGCTATGTAGTTGAAAGTTGAAGGGCTCTTTATTTATTTGGTTGATCAGTTCTTTTGGGCCAATTCTCCCTGTGACACTGAAGAACAAATACCGTTTTATTATTACAAATCAGCTAATAACCATTAACTCCTTAGTGAAATATTAAAAAGGCACAGCAGGGCAGGAATGTCCCTCTGCATCCATTAAAACTACAGGGAAAAACATAGCCCCCTTTCCAAAAAACAAACAACTGCAGACCTATCTTACCATCTGCATAGTTTCTTATTCAATTTGAATATATTATACCTCAACACCAGCTTTATAGCATGCTTTGTTACATGAATATTGCATGTGTGAAGGGAAATTCGTCCCACCAAGACCCCTCAGTACAAATAGGTAGAGGAGAAATTCCTTTTCTTGCACAGGATCCCGACCTTATCAGGTGGGAATGCATAGAAGGTGTGCATAAAATGCATGACTATTGAAATCGGTGGGGTCTGTGTGAGTTGAGCCTGTTTGTAATTGCTAGATGTATGTGTGTGTATGTGTGCACTCATGTGCATACGTGTGTGTGTGTATTCCTGCAGCTGGATCAGTATCCCTCCTGGCTTCTGCTCCTGCTTCCTGTACAAGAGGAGGGAAACCAGTTCATCCCAATCTGCCAATACCGTGTGTACCTACTGTATTTTTCAAGGGGGATGTGAGGAAACAATTAATGTTTACAAGACAATCTGAGAATGATGGATTCAGATTTGAGAACCAGTATTTTATTACAGAGGCAATGGAAGGTTTGGTTTTATTTTAATATGAGATCAGTGGCAGAAATGACACGTGGACATCTGTGAGACTTTTGACAAAGAGGAATTACCGTGGTGGTCTGTTGACTGAGTCTAAAGTATGTCTTGTTTTTTTTTCCTCCCCCTCTCGTCCCTGCACCCCTGTCTGTATACACAGGAGCTAACGCATCTGCTCCCGACCAGCTGAGCCTAGCATTAGCCTGGAACAGAGTAGACATCGCCCGCAGTCAGATCTTTATTTACGGGCAACAGTGGCCGGTACAGTATATATACAGCATCTTCTACTGAAAACACTTTAAACCCTACACAACATTAAATCCGTTCTGTTGGCGGCGGTGGTTTTAACAGAGTTTAAAACACACTGAGTCATGCTCCCAGCCAAACAAAAGTTACCATTCACAGCTACTGCAGGCAGGCACGGTTACAGAGGTGTTAGTATGTTCGCTTGCTCAAGGAAATGGTGACATCTAGCGATGCTTTAACACTGAGAGACCACACCTTTAAAGAAACGGGAAGCAGCGCTTCTATGCTACCAAGCAATGATTCTGCAAGCTGAGAAAAGCAAGTATCTATTAACAGCCAAGTTACAATGTTAGGCTATAAATTAAAGGAAAGGCAAAACTTCTTTTTGCTCTTCAAGCAATATGCTTTTTTATACAATACTGAATTTGATGATGATCAGATGTCAAAAACATGCTACACAAATGTTGGAGGTAATCAAGTGGACCACGAGAGCCAATCAGCAATGTTACTACAGAAGTCCTGTGGCTCCAGATCTGAGCTGGTGTTAATTTCTTGCCCAGCGCTGCTCTGCATCAACCTGCCTGCTTCACATCTGCCCCATCCTATGCTCCAGCTGCCAGCTGTGGGGACAGGCTCCCTGGCCAACACCGTTCCCCTGAGGGGCACCGTGGGCAGAACTTCTCTGCAGGAATGGGAGGGCTGTAAATAGAGAAGTTATTGAATGCTGTGTGAGGCAGAGGAGCAGTAGTCAGCTCCCAGCTTGTGATGCAGTTTTTACAGTGGTGGACGACACCCAGAAAAAAACAGAAGGTCTCTGTCCCTGTAGCTCCTTAAAGCCCACCATATCTTCATTTGGAAGGTTTAGTTGGATCACAGTATTCATTACTGTGACACTTGATTTGTCACTGTCGTGATAATTTCATGTGCTATCATTACATGAGCATTTACAACTCCCCATGGAAAAATTATAACAAAAGGAAAAGCTTCTGTTTAAATATGCTTGCTTTAAATGTAGTTTCTGGAGCTTGCTGCCCCTTAAAGCTAGTTTCACAAATCCTTGCATTCTCAGTTATGAATTGAACAGGACTATACTTTATCTTGTCTTCAATACTGAGCATAAGTATGCATGAAAACATAGGAGGGTTTTTAATGATACAAAGCTGTCCTTATAGTTATTGCTCCATCACCACATTATAGCAAAAATTTGCATAAATGCTGCAAGCTGCAATCATTTTGCAAGCTAAAAGCTGGAAGTATGAGATTATTTCTCATCCTTCTAACTCTCCCCAGCCTGCAAGAGATAGAAAAGGAGAGATTTTGTGTAAGAAGACTTCTTGCATTTGGCCCTTCAAAAAAATGCTAATTGTGAAGCTATTTCTGCTTCCTGGGTGTCAAAATTTCCCTTAGTTTCCACACCACAAACAGAGGAAAAGCTAGTAAAGGCAGAATTAAAGTGAGTGTGTGTACACATAACAAATATACCCAATATAAATAAAATGTTTGTCAGGAAAACAAGACATAAAGATAATAATGAAATGGTGAATGGTGTGGAGGTGTGGTCACCAGTTACCTGGGTTCCAGTTCCTTGGTCCTAATCTGGATTTCCTAGAGTATGTTAACATTCTGACACTCATTTTTGAAATGCTGCCCTGAATCAGAGAAACTGATATAGACTAAAACTGTGATTATCCCATTCTAAGCTTAGAAGAGCAACCCTCAGAATTTTGTCAGGATTCACCTGCTTGTGCCAGGGTGACCGGACCAGCCAGATACAGCCTGTGATGCCTAGGAACAACCTGAATTAATTGCTTGCTTTGCAGGTGGGCTCCCTTGAGCAAGCAATGCTGGATGCACTGGTGTTGGACAGAGTGGATTTTGTGAAATTACTCATAGAAAATGGAGTAAGCATGCATCGTTTTCTCACCATCTCCCGGCTAGAGGAATTGTACAATACGGTAGGGCCAACCTAAGGCAAATTTTCTATCTCTATATTCATTGTTCTAGCTTCCACTCATATTACAACGACATGATGATGCACAAAGCAGCCAACACCTGCTGTGGAGATTTGGAAGTCCACATTGTCTCTTAGCTTTGTCTCTTATGTAATGGAACACACTGTGTCTTGCCCACCTAATCTGCTGTACAGATTTTGTAAAACACGGATTAAGCCCCACACAGTGCCAGCTGATTTCTGGTCATTGTAATTCCAATATGATAGACCTGAGATTTAGACAGATGGCACTGTCTGGAAAACAGTAACTGGCAAGTTAGGACTTGTAGGATCGTGATACATGACTTCTGACAGTATAAGCTCTTACAGTTTCAGAAAAATCTTGCAACTGTTAATCAAACTCAGCCACTAGAAAACAAATAGAAGCAAACTTCTTGGGATAATATTCTGAATTTAAAGGTGAAATCCGATGATTTCAGGAGGCCTATTACAGTGAAGCGCTTTCCCCGTGTTCTCACCAAATGTTCCAAAAATGATAGTTTTGACTTTTAAAATCCGGTTTGCAAATTCTATATCTTTGCTTTTAAAATTAACATAAAACTGCACAGGTTCAAATTGCTTCCAAGTTCTCAACTGCAAAACATTCACATCATTATTGCCTACTAAGAGAAACCAGTAAGTTCAAATTGCTTAAGTGGTATGGAAAAAATCTTAAAGCATTGTCTAGTTCTGTCTAAACAGGAGAGAGGTTGTGACATAGTGCATAGCCCTTTTCAAAAAAGTTTTTTTTTGCCAGTACTTTTCAAAGCCCTGCCATCATAAGCTGCCACACTGGGCTGTTATCCAGAGATGTTTCACACTGATGGTGACCAGAATTCAGTCTTTCAAAAATATCAAATATGAAAAGAATTCATTAAATTTGTGCAAAATATAGAGGAACAGGTATCCATGCCACCCTTGAGACAGATTCCCATCTGATCTTTGATTGGCTTAAACTTTGCCATTATGCATCTATGTATTAAGAACAGGCTTTCTTGATAAGCATTGTAGTTCTTGTACCAAAGCCAGTTTTTACAGGGAGTAAGTGTGAGGAAAGTCTTCAGTTCTACAGCTAAAAGAAGGCCTTTTTGAATAAATTTATTGTATGCTATAAAAATCACCGTAAATTATTCATACAAGAGTTCCAAAAGACCAAGACTATGAAATGCCCAAACTACCAATTATGATATATGACCTAATGCATCCATGATAGCCTTAGCACCAACAAAAATACAAGGCCAGTTAAAAAATACCAAATTTCAACATAACCCCTGAGAGTGACCTGGGAAGCTACAAACCAGAGAATCTGACTTCTGCCATGGCAAATTTGTAAAAGTACAATAAAGAATAGGATTAATACACAAGGGGATCAATTTTATGTCAAGAAAGAGTTTACCCAGCTTCTGTAGGAAAATGTTAAGCCTTAGTAATCTATTACCGTTTCTGAATTCAACAGGCAGGAGAATAAGGATGTTGCACTTGGTCTGCCTGTTTTTGCAAAACCTGTTTGACAATATTTGAAAACCTCAAAGGTTATTAAAGAAATTTAGCTGTCATGACATAGAAGATAAAGGGCACTTGTGGTTTAAAAAATACTTGAAAGATAGAAAACAGAGAGTAGGAATACATGGTCTGTTCTCACCACAAAAGGACATTATGACCAGGGTCATCCAAGACCCTGTCCTGGGTTCACTGCTGTTCAGCCTGTTTAGAGGTGATCTGAAAAATAGTAACTACAGAAGGGACAATGTTTGCAGGTGATTTAGCATCACTCAGGGTAGGCAAATCTGAAGTACTGTATGAAGAATCACAGGAAAGTCTCATCATGCTCAGTGATGGGGTTACATAAAATTAAGTGTTAGCAAGTGCAGAGCAACATATATATGGAGCCACTGACTCTGCACATATGCAGTGGTCTCATCTATCGTCATTTACAGCCAAGGAGACCTCCCCATAAAAGTCTCTTAAAATATCAGCAACAGTCAAAAACACAACAGAAAAGAAAGTACTTCTCCACATAACATATAATTGAAATTGTGGGAGTCTGCTGCAGAATGTTTTGGGTGTGTCGTGGTTTAACCCCAGCCAGCAACTAAGCACCACGCAGCTGCTCACTCACTCCCCCCCCACCCAGTGGGATGGGGGAGAAAATCAGGAAAAGAAGCAAAATCTGTGGGTTGAGATAAGAACGGTTTATTAGAACAGAAAAGAAGAAACTAATAATGATAATGATAACACTAATAAAATGACAACAGCAGTAATAAAAGGATTGGAATGTCCAAATGATGCGCAGGGCAATTGCTCACCACCCGCCGACCGACACCCAGCCAGTCCCCCAGCTGCAATTCCCCAGCCCCACTCCCCCCAGTTCCTATACTGGATGTGACGTCCCATGGTATGGAATACCCCGCTGGCCAGTTTGGGTCAGGTGCCCTGGCTGTGTCCTGTGCCAACTTCTTGTGCCCCTCCACCTTTCTTGCTGGCTGGGCATGAGAAGCTGAAAAATCCTTGACTTTAGACTAAACACTACTGAGCAACAACTGAAAACATCAGTGTTATCAACATTCTTCACATACTGAACTCAAAACATAGCACTGTACCAGCTACTAGGAAGACAATTAACTCTATCCCAGCTGAAACCAGGACAATGTGTCAGGTGGAGTTAAAAGAAGATTGGACAAAATCACAGACTGCATGCTGTTAGTGGCTTTCAGGTGAGACAGCCTAGATGCAATGTCAGGCTCAGGGCGTCTCTGAGCCACCAACAGAGGAAGTGGAGATCCTGACTTCAGGAAGGGTGACACTTTAGCAGCTCTTTTATCTTCCACTCTCTCCCAGAGGCTGTGCATATTGTGCTGGGCTCCTGCTTTGCCTAAGCCAGGAGCCTAATCTGATATATAGGACCTTAATTTTCACCCAGTAGGCAGTTCCTGTGGTTTTCCTACTGAAGGGTTTTGTACAAAAGAGAAGTCAGGTGAAATAATGCTCTTGTAATTGTTGGGGGGGGGGTTTATTGATAACACTGTACAATTGAAGCGCTGTCAGTTGCCTGATAGTGAAACTACTAACGTGAGAAAGTAATTTCAGCATTTACATCTTGCAGGTCTTTGAACAATGCAAAACTATTTTATTCTTCTTTATTTGTCCTTTGCAGAGACATGGACCATCCAACACTCTGTATCATCTAGTCAGGGACGTCAAAAAGGTAAGAGTCCAATAGACGGTAGGTTGGAGATAATGCTATGATTGCTTTTTGGAGCTAGATACAATCTCTGTTTTGCATGAGCTTTCAGTCAAAGCCTTGTCCTTCCCCTGCCATTACAGAATGTCCTGTTTGTATGTACCGAATATGAACTTTTTGCATACAAAGCACAAGTAGCAAGTTATTTGGCTTGCTTTCTCTGTGGTTTTAGATGCCTGGGTAATAGTGCTTCTGCTAGCATATTGTAGCCTCTTACATACCATGTGGATTTGTGCTGTTATCTGTATTTTTCCATACCTGCAACTACTGTCAAAGCTAATTTCCATGTTGTTAGTTTACTTCTGAGCCTGTAAAATAGCCCTTATCCTTGTGCTGGATCCTCATTTGTTGAAACAGTTTCTTATTCCGTGTTGTGTGGTATATTGTCGCCATCTTCCTCAGCAGAAATATACAAAAAGAAGTAGTGCAACTTTCCCCTGCCCCCTTATGAAGTTAATTTCAAGTATCTTGATTATAAAGAGCCATGAGGAGGGCAAGACACAAACACAGAAAGGTATAGTGGCAAGAAGGAGATAAAAAATGCCTTTAGGAATGTGTTCAGGATTAGAAGTGTTAACAGCAGCAGCAATGAATGAAAGTCCTTTATCCTCTAAATATATGGATCAAGTAAGGAGATTGAGTCTGCAGCTGACCTCATCAGCTTGAATATTCTCCGAAAGCATGTGCAGATTGCAACCTTGCACATTATGTAAGTCAGACCTCAAGGGTAGCATACTTGAGAAAGGAGATTTTTGTACATGGGAGTAGATGGAAAACTGAAAAAGAAATGGAGATTTTTTTGTATGAGCACAGGTTTTGGTGGTCTCTTCTGTCACTGACAACTGAGCAGAACGAAAGGCAACTAGGGGAGAGCAGTGGCAATGCTTGATATATCATCTTTCTGTTAAATAATGCTACAGAATAACCAATAGTTATGTTTAGGGAGGTTCTGGTGGTTTTCTTTGGTTAGTGTGTTATGTGGCATCATCGTTGTTCAATTATACATAGTACATTAAGTGACCATTGCAAAGTGTGACATGCGTACAGAAGAAACCGAAACTGTTCTTATGCACTAATCCCCTTGGATGGAGCAGAGTAAAGCTAGAATGCATTTAGACTGGCTACTTCTCTTGAGGCCCAAGTTACCAGAATATGTTTTTTTACTAAATATGCATGTATTTATGTGCCTATAAGGGTTTGAAACAAGCATCATCTGTCTTCTTACTTTAAAATATATTCCTTTTCAAACTTCTTCTCTTCCCCAGTATCACCTTTCCCAGCCCTCCTTCAAAGGCATAGCAGTTTGTATGTTGAATGACTAAATAATATAAATATCTTTTCCTGAGTTCCTAACAAAAGATGTATTTTTAAAGGAGCTCTTGAAAAAAAGGCGTTAAAAGAGGCAAAGATGATCAGTACTCATAGGTGTACATTGATAGACATTGGCATAAGCAACTTACACTATATTTAATTACATTATTTGTTAAATGTTATGAGGTGGTCATTTTTCCATAAATTCACCTTTCTTTCCTCTGTCCATTAGTAATTCCCACTACACGAAGTCAATGTGTACTCTTATTAGAATATAGTTAAGGGCTTTAAAAACAAACAGCCTGGTGCAGTCGTCTAGCACCTTAATCAGAAAACTGCACCTCTGGGGCTGTATTTCTCATTTTGTCAGTGATGAGGAACAACCATGCTTCACTCTGAGAACAATGACAGCTCACCATAGCCCTGCAATCTGAGCAGATCCCCTACCAGTCAACCAAGCTGTAAATCAGTCAGCAGATCTGGCAACAGTTTAAATGGAAACACCTCCTTGGAAATAACTTCTTCATGGACAACACTGTTTGACAGTTAAGTGGCCCACTGTGCATGAAAACCAGACCACACTGCTGATGCTAGGTTTTTGAGTTTATATGTACTTTGAGGCCAGATACCTAACCTCCCAGATTTAATTACAGTATCACAAAATATAAATACAAAAAACATGTCACCTTAAGACAACAGTTAAGGGATATGCATACTCTGTGCTTTTTATACATACCTCCCAGTTTTAAAACCTGTGCTATTTACAAGGGTGTATGCTGTAAAAAGTTATTTACATCTGCATCATTGTGAATTCTCAAATAGAAAATGGATGCTTACAAATCATAGAAGCATTATTTAATTTACTACTATTGTATTACATAGCTGTATAAATCACTGGGAGGCGTTTTTTGTTTGAAAGACCACCCTGCCTGCTTAACAAAGGAAAGAATTTGAACAACAGAAGTCACATTACCACATCCTGTTTGTGGCGGCTTACAGACACACGTGTGCACACACACGCATGCACAAACATAGTAGACAACAATTTATTTTCTTTTCAAATTTCCAAATATCACTCTGAAGACTGTTAGCCTGGGCAGAATATTGTAAAGGCCTGGAGACACAGTCTTAAAGAATTTACAGTAATCAGGGTGCACTTAAATTCTGTATATATTAACAAGACAAAGCACTTCTTAATGACTCTGCTTTAGAGACAGCCATGAGACAACTCATCTCTCTTTTCGATCCTCTCCATTCCATAACTACATACGGGGAAAAATCTGCCTTCATCCTTTGCATGATGGCCTTTTTGACATCTCCTGACAAGGGCATAGAATTTGACATACAGGGTCGACTTGCTTCCCTAAACTGTACAAACCCATGCATCCAGGCTAAGCAGGAAGAAACAGTGGCTGTGCTTGACATCCTGTCTGTAAGTGGAGGTTTCCCTCTACAGGTTGTTTTTTAAAAAATTCTTCCTTCGCTCAACCAGCTAATGAAGATCAGTGGAAATCAACAGATTAATTTTTTCTTTAATCCAAAAATTGTATATAATCAATATATCTTAATCCCACTCTGGGGTGATACAAATTTTCAAAGGTCCTTATTTTGGACTGCCAATGTATGTTTACGTTTCTGGAGAACTAATAAGCAATATACACAATTTTGAAACTATTATTTTTTCCTCAGCATGCAAAATCAGAGGCTCAGTACCTGTTGAATACAAAAATGCACTTGAAGTGAAAAAATACTATAATTGATTAGCTACAGTTTACAGCTGAAGTTTCTTCAGGAAAAGAATAATGCATTAGCACTGAAGACTTGTCCCAACATTAGAAGGTTATTTGATTATTAACTGGGCTACCTGTCATACCTGAAAGTCAAACCTTCTCCTCTGCCATTCCTGACCACCTTGGTTGTACTAGAATTAGCCCATCCAAATTTTTGCTGTTCTTAGAGTGGTTCTGGCCCACTTGCACCACTGTGCTTCGTTTACAAGCAGACTCACCACTGCCAGGGTAGTTCAAGGTGTCTGCTGATATAGCAAGTGCTTTGACAGATGTGTAGCTCCTCTCACAAGGATGGTCCACTTGGCTTTACTAGGGCTGATCACTTTGGAAAAGTAATTGTGTGTTAAGCATGGAGCCATACATATGTTTATGTCTATAAAATATGTATTTCTTCTGTGAATTTGTGATTTTTCTTTAGTAAAGTGTTTCAGTATTATCTGGGAGGTTTAGATGCATCTTTTATTAGAACTACTCTATTGGAAATTTTTTTATCTAAATCCCTTTATGAAATTTTAGAAATCAGAAGAACTATATCAAGAAACTCACTCTTTCTGACACATGCAGCACCCGGATGCCTGTTCTGCTTTCTTAATTGCTCTATTATTTTTTGCCACTTAATAATATCAAAGCATTCAGTGTTAGTGTCTTACATTAAGACAGCAGGAGTCTGTTGAATAACTACAACTCTGTCTTGGAGCTACAACTCCCACTTCTGCTAGCACCTTCATCCTTGTCCTAGTAAAACTGTCATTGCCTTAAGCATTCTGGAGAGAGAAGAACATTTGGAGGAAAAAGCAAACAAACAAACAAAACTTAGCAGGATTTAATTCTTAGATTTACATTATTTATCTTTAAACAGTTCAGAATAAAAATGACTGGGTTCAAATAAACTAAGCTAATATGCATTCCTGCAAACGATAGTGATTCCCCCGCCCATCAGATTGGCTAAGAGCAGGAAGAGTGCAAAAGTATATGCTAAGGGACATTACTGAAAGACAATTGGCAGCTCACCTTTTTCCACTAAATTTTCTTCATCTTCTGTCCCTTTGAATCCCAGCCCATTCCTAGGCATGGTACACCATAGCACTACCTCCCTCTCTCCTTCCTCAACCTTTCAGCACACTGTTTGTACTGTGGTGAGCAGGGAGGGAAATTTTCTGGCTGAAGTAGAAGAGGAAGGAGGATCTTTGCATCCATTTCATCTCTTTTGCAGAACCAGTTACCTTCTGTTCACCATTAGTGTTTCTCTGCTCTGAATCTAATAAGCACATCTGCAGAGAAGCCAGACAGGTATCTGCAGACATGCAGATATTTCCAGCTAGACATGGCAGTCATAAAATTGCTCTGTGTGAATTACTAACCTTCTTTTGATGACCACATAAAAAGAGCTACAGGCTAACTGTAATCTGTGCTGTACAACATTATAGAAAATGTGATTATTTTATTACAATGCACTGAAAAAATTTGAAGCTAACAATTACAATTTTCTGGTCCTTCTGCAATGTTGACTATACAAGTTAAATTTTTACTAGAGTAATTTTCTCTTTTTCTTGCAGTTCACAGAAGGGTTATCTACCTTTCTTTCCACCTTTAGTTTGTAGTCCCACCTCTTGCACAATGACATACAGGACAGAGATGGTTCTGTAAATCTGCAGGGTTCTTAATGAGATCCCTAGATCTGGGTGACCTATTCACAGTTTGCTGAATCATGTCTTCTTTTCTGGTAGGGAACTGCTCACTGAACCATAAACCATGCAGGAGCTGGTTCCATGTGAACAAATGACATTGCATGATGTCACCTCACCGTGCCTTGGCAGTGCAGATGAGGCAGTCCAAAGAGATGCCAGCAGAGACGTGAGATGCCAGGATGAGAGTTGGGGGGGACAGATAGTGCAGGAAAGGTGCCATCTTGCAGGACTAGAGTCCAGCAACTGTGCCTGACCTTTCAAGTGTGCTGATCCTCGTGCTTTTTGTTCTGCAGTCGTGTTCCTTGTTTCCTCAGCTGAAGAATATGAGTACTGTGTACTGACGTTATCTTCTGTTACTTCCAACAAGTTCTTCACCTTCTTATTTAACTTATGTCTTCTTTCCAAGCGAGAATATCCAGGTTTCGGTTGGATCTATTTTAAGGTGAATTAATTAACCAGCATAATAATACATTCCTGTTTTTAACTATTTAATTTGTTTTATTCTAACATCATTATAAAGTGTATTTAACAATGCCAGTAATAAGCATTTCTTCCTCCCCCACCATCCTCCTTATTTTCTTTGCAGGGAAACTTACCTCCTGATTATCGGATAAGTCTAATTGATATTGGATTGGTCATAGAGTACCTGATGGGAGGAGCATATCGCTGCAATTACACCCGAAAGCGGTTCAGGACACTGTACCACAACTTATTTGGGCCCAAGAGGGTAAGGAGCAAGTTATTTGCCATCTGAATGACTGCACCCACTGGCAGGGCTTGCCATAGCTTCTTAGATGGTTCCATGCTGGGGGGATCCACATGCACACACTATTCAGTCTACAGATTCATTTCCACTCTGTACCCAGCAGCTATTTCACCATAACACACCACAAGCCAGCCACTGATACAAGCTACAATTTTTATCAATTTAATGAAAAAATTATTGGGTTCTGCTGCCCTGGTGAGACCAGGACGTAAAACAGTCTCCTCTGGCTCTAAAATCTGTAATTAGACAAGTCTCTTGACCTGTACCAATAATACCATAAGGCACCTGAGTTAGACTTGAAAAAAATTGTGTTTTGATAGATGCATTTCCTGTCTCATGGTTCATCTTCTTGACTGTGGCCTGAAGGTATCAGGGCAAAGAAACCCATAACTCACAATTGGCTTTATTGGCTGGGTGTGGCTCCAGCAGAGTCAGTGGGCTCATGGCAAAACCACTGTTCAGTATTTTTGTGGTTTTCCTGTTTGATAGATTACAATTCTATTAATCCAAAGTTTACTACCTTCCCAAAACAAAAGATATTTACTGACTTCCATAATGCCACCGACCCAATCCAGTGTGAAGAAAAATCAGTTCAATGGCTCCCAGTAAGATTTGTAGTTCGTTCTTTGCCTATTTTTACCTTGCATTTTCATTTCCTGTCTCAGTTCAGATTTTAGCAATACACACCATTGAATATTGTTCTAAGTGGCTATAAAGAGCAACAGCTCTGTGAAATGATTACAGCCAAACACCTGAAATGGGTTTGTTTGTTTCTCTACACTTTCTTTCTTCACTTTTGAGAGGAAAGGTAGTAATTGTAGCTGCTGGGAGACACTTTCTTTTCTTTGTCACTCACTCAAGAAAAGCGTTTGAGTAGCTATTTCACAGATACTGAACCAACATACAGAGCAGCTCCACAGCAGTCAATAAAAGTGTGCCAGGGGAATGGCCAAAATACTGATATACTCCAGAGAAATCCATTCATGCCTTAGTGGTAATTCCTATCTCTTTTCCACTAGCACAGCCCCAAACCAGCTGCAATTTGTACCTCAACCCAAATGTATGTCTTCTGTTGTATGTTTTGGTGAAATAGGGTCAAACTCAAGGTTGAATTAAATATAAATATGTAATTATTTGATTGATGTATATATGTATATTATATTACATTACATCGCATTACATCTATATTACCTATATTATATTATATACTCTACGTTAGATACTCTACATTATATGTTATACATCACATGTTACATACTTACACATGTATGTATGTGTAGAAATATAGTTGTGATTATTCATCACCATTCTGGGAGAAATAACATTTTTCTAACTTTTTTGTACAGCCAAAAGCCCTGAAACTGTTGGGAATGGAGGTAGGCGACCTGTGATAAATCTTAATGTCTTTTCCTTTTTTGACAAATATAAGCTCTATCAAGATAATGTTTAAATCGCTGTAATGAAGGGACCAATAGTTGTTTTCAAGTTTTCTATGAGAAATGTGCAACACAAATTGTATTTTTCATCCAGATGACTTGTTTACACAAGGGCCAAATTAAGAAACATTTCTTAATAAAACCCCAGTGGAGAGAAAAGAAGGCTCTGCCCCCTGTATGCATCATCTTTCTTTTCATGAAGATTAAACAAAATGTTTCAGTCTGTCAGACCAAACAGAATTTCAGTCAGATAACTATATAACTTTAAAATGTGTCAGAGAATGATGCAGAAATCTTTACAAAGGCCAAATTTCTATCAGCTCATGTGATAAAAGCAGTAGGCTAAAATGGGAAGGAAACTAAAGGTGATAGAAACAACAAAAAGATGGAGAAAGAAGGGATAAAAAAGGGATACAAAGGCAGAATGGGAGTGAAGAAAGGATATTCCTACTCTTCTGAGAAGATGAAGGGAGAAAACACAAGAATAAGCAGAGAGGGAGTCTTCAGCTGACCAGAACGTCCCCTGGATATGTACTTTCCGATGCATTACAACAGATGTTATATTTGGAGTGAAATCTTAGCTTTATTTTGATGGTGGCTTTTCCAAAATGATTCTGGATATTGTGTGATTGTGCTCTGTGTTCTTAGGGAGAAAGAACAGTTCAGAGTGACAGTCCAAAGCTCTTTTTCCCTGTGTTTAGGTATGGGGTTACTGACTTCTTAATTACAGTGCATGGACCAATACCTTTTTCATCATTTTCCTATGTTAAATATTTTGTCCAAAAAAGATGAAGGGGCTGACCTGCAGGGAATGTGTTTGATATCTCAGGTACTGACTCCAATGCATTGTGTGAATTGATTCAGTTCCTGCACTGGTGAAAAAAATTTCTCTACAATTCTCACAGGATGATGTCCCTTTGCGGCGAGGGAGGAAAACAACAAAAAAAAGAGAAGAGGAAGTTGATATTGATTTGGATGACCCTGAGATCAATCATTTCCCTTTCCCGTTCCATGAGCTGATGGTGTGGGCTGTGCTGATGAAGCGTCAGAAGATGGCCCTCTTCTTTTGGCAGCATGGGGAAGAGGCTATGGCTAAAGCACTGGTGGCCTGTAAACTCTGTAAAGCCATGGCCCACGAAGCATCAGAAAATGACATGGTGGATGACATATCCCAAGAGCTGAACCATAATTCCAGGTGAATTTTCTTTCATGTACACTTTGCTGGGTTAAAAAAAAAAAAAAAAAAAATAGAGAGAGGCTGCTGAACCTCCCTGAAATTTGCTTATCCGTACCTCATTTTCATTTCTAACTTATTGGGAAAACGCAGCCCCTTTAAAGTCTAAATAACTTTTAAACAATCAGTCTGCCAGGGAAGCAGAGCTGCTAGCAGTATAACTTCTGAAATGAGAAGGTGTCAAGAAGGCAATGGAATATCTATATTGTCTACGTGTTCCCCCTGAGGCCTCAAGAGTCAGGCTGCAATATTTCTCTGTGCTTTTTCAAGACATTCTGTTCCTCCCAAGCAGAACAATTGTTGAAATCCTTACAAACATAATATTCAGGCAGTAGTGTTAATTAGCAAGAACTTACGCTTAGGTGAGCAAGCCAAGATACTAGATTCCATAATAATCTTTCTTGATGTTAAAAGTCTGAGACACAGATTTTTAAAAAGTGTATTGGACATTCATTTTTCCAGGAGACTTGACCACGAAGCCATGGGCAAACAGCACAGAAGCAATCCTCTAAGCTGCAGATAACCAGAGGATTTCAGCTAGAAAATGTCAGGGGGGTGGGCAGGCAGGTGGGAGCAGACAGCTGGTAGGTGTGGGTGCTCATCACTGCTAAGTCAGGGCACTTATTTATATGCCTACCATTAGCCACTCACATTTGAAAATGTGGGTTTCCACGTGTACAGTCAACATCACGATTTGCATGATGGAAGGTGCTGCACCCCCTTGCAGAGACTGTCAGTCACAGAGGGGTGTTTTCTGCAGCAGGCTGCTTGGGCTAGTGGGAATGAACAAATATCCCTCTGTTGCAGGGACTTCGGACAGTTGGCCGTGGAACTGTTGGACCAGTCATACAAGCAGGATGAGCAACTGGCAATGAAACTGCTGACCTACGAGCTGAAGAACTGGAGCAATGCCACATGCCTGCAGCTTGCAGTGGCAGCCAAGCACAGGGACTTCATTGCTCACACTTGCAGCCAAATGCTGCTCACAGACATGTGGATGGGTCGCCTGCGGATGCGCAAAAATTCTGGCCTAAAGGTCAGCACTGTTTTAAAAAAAAATTAACAGCCAGAGAAGTTCTGATAGATGGTGACAGGGCTTACAATAAATCAGTAATAACCAGCTCAATTAACCATATTTCAGGTGCTTATTTGTAGTGACATTAAGCAGGGTATATTCTTCCTGTGTTCAGTTTTTCAGCAGGGAGCTTATCACAAACCCAAGTTCAAAGGACGTTGCTTAGTTTTTTCACCACCTTTCTCAAAGCCCCCTCTGGCATCAGTGAGACTTATCAGAATAAGAACTGAGCCAGGAGATTAGTATGTCACCCTGCCTGGATACTTGAGGAGTTAGCCAAGGTTTTTAAAGATAAATAAAGAAAAAGGATGTGTAAGTGAATTAACCGCTAGTGAAAGGTGCTGATCCAACAAACTTCCCCAGAACTGGTCACAGCAAGCAGTACCAATTTTCTTGCAGTCCCCTGCCAATATTCCTTATGATTGACCTGAAGGGACCACCTTAGAGGATCTAGAGGACAATTCAATTTTCCACAATTAGCGAAACTGCTAACAGAGCAAGGTGAATTCTGGGAGGTGAATGTGTGTCTGTGGGCTTGCATCTTTCACCTTCACCAAAGTACCCACCAGTCAGTACATAACCAGGAACTGCCTTTTCCAGATGACTGAGAAATATTTTCAGTGAAGGGATTCTCTCTCCTGCATTAATCATGTGCGTGAAAAGTCATAACTGCTCAGTTGTTTTGCTGTGTGAAAAGATGTTCACTAAGAGGGAGAACGCTTGTGAGTATGTGTATCAGTATTGTACTGGGTCTCATCCAGTGACAGTGATGAATGAGAATAAGTGGCTGATAGCATTGTCATCATCCTCCTGCAGGGGCTGTGTGTAAATATTGTTCAGCTTACAGATAGAAAGCATTCTCACATTTGGAGACATCTTTACTACCTATTTTTCTGACTCAACTCACAGGCCCATTGCCCTTCAGAGGGACTCCCGCCTTGTTCACTGCTTGGCTTTGCAGATAGTCAACCTGAGTAGACTGGGATCAGTGCAGCAACTCATTTCCCACTGCATGCTTTCTTCTTTGTAGCGTGTATCTCTTAAGCCATAAAACAGACCTTTCTTTCACAATTAATAACTGAAGGTAACAGCCTCTGTTTCCCTTCAGCTTCTTGTAACATCAGGGCTTCACAAGCATCCTTTACTCAGTTTCTCATTTGTGTTTTATTTCACTGAAACTCATTAGCAGGGTCTGTTTAAAGCTAAAGCAGGCTACAAGCTACACGAGCAAGAGGCAGCATGGCAAAGAAATAAATTTGCAAGCATGAGTCATGGATTATTTCCCATGAACAATTTTCTCCCATTGAAACTGGCAAAGGGCAAGAAGGCTGAATGTAATTCTTTAGAGTCTTGTCGGGGATGTATAGCACCAATGGGAGGGGGAGAGGAAATTGATAATCCTGCCTGTCCTTAAAAATAGCCTGTCTGGGAAGCCAGGTCTGCCCGTAACCCCCTCTCCCTGGACACATCCTTTTGCAACAAGCTGAGTGCAGGAGCAGTGCAGGCAGCCTGATGCTCAGCTCTTCTCAGGCTGGGCACAGTGTTCATATACACTAACTGCTCCTGATTGCGGTACTTCAGATGATTTCAACAGCACGCATGCTGCTGTCAATATAAGCACAAGCAGTCACCCTCCCTGACCTGCCAACAAGCTAACTATCTGGTTTCATTGTCATTTGGGGAGACATTTATAATAAAATCATCTTCCATGAGATTACAGCAAAACCAGGAAAAGCTACTGTTCTTGTGAACCACTTCTTTTTGTATTATTATGATATCTCTTCAGTTATACTACTGACTTAACCCCAAGCATCGTTTATTGCATATATCCACACAAGGTAATTTTAATGGTTTCTGCACTCCCACATCATAAGAGAGGGAAGGCAGAAAAGAAAGAGTTGGCATTAATGTGAACATTACACAGCTGCCAGGTTAATGAACCAAAATCTAAGGGGACCACATAACTGAGCACATCAACATTTGCTATTGCGGTCTTTGCCTTATCTTCTCAGATCCACACACTCATGCCTTGACTACCTGGGTGCATTAAGTATGGACACAGAGAGCATGAGACCTATTAACCCTATCTGTAGAAATTAATACTGCTTCTCTGTCACTTACACTGATAGTGTCTGTTATGTAAAATGCAGAAAATTGCAGGTCTGAACACCCCCATGGTCGCACCTACGAATGACCTTGTGTAATAGTTTGTAAATATATTTTGGTAGGTAATAATACCCATCTGGTGAGCAAGCAGATGAAATACTCAAGAGAGGCAATTAGCCATGGGACTCACAGCAATGCTAGTAGAAGTTACGTGCTTTGTTTCACTACAGAACTCTGATAACATTACGCCAAGTGACAAATACTCTATTGTGATAGAAACTCACATGCACGCATATCTTTCTTTTCCTAAATGTCCTGAGGGAGTTGTTCCATTTGATAATAAGTAACCATCATGACTGTAATCTGTTTACTGTGATGATTATTGTTATCATTATTATTGCTTTAGGTAATTCTAGGAATTCTACTTCCTCCTTCAATCCTCAGCTTGGAGTTCAAGAACAAGGATGATATGCCTTACATGTCTCAGGCCAATGAGATCCATCTTCAAGAGAAGGAGCCAGAGGAACCAGAGAAGCCAGTGAAAGAAAAAGAGGAGGAAGACATGGAACTCACTGTAAGTGCCGACAATAAATCACCAGCCTCAGTGCTGTCAATTTGTTATTCCCACCTCTGTGGGCATTGCAGGCTGTCTAATGGCTAAATTTAGCAGATGATAGGATACCACTCTTTACACTCCCCTCTTCTCAGTGAGACTCAGATCAGAAAAGTTGGCATCATTGTGTCTCGATGTTGCAGCAGTGCATGGTGATGCCAAAGCATCACGTTGTGATGTAATATCCTCATATTTTGATTCAATTTGATGCCACGATGTCTGCAATGAATTCATGACATTTCAGAATTGAATGCACTCAGCCATGATAGATGAGTGGGCCTCTCTCTCTGGTAGAAAAGAAACTCGCTAAGTCTTCCTTTGAGTGGAAATGCCCAAAGATTCATAGAAGCTAGAAATTTTTTTTTCTTTTGGTTAACCTATTTAAAGGGCAAGTAAGTGTCCAAACAGGCAAGAAAAATGATGAAAAATGTTTTTCGAAATTATTTATGAATTTGTGGTCATTGCCTCTCACACATACACACATGCAGTTTTTAATCCACTGAAGACGTTAGCAAGCAGCTAGACAGCTCAGCCCTTGCTAAGAGCTTCTGCAGCTCAGCAGAATTGTGTAAAGAAGGACTTGTCTGTATTAGTAACATAGCCTTAGAGAAATAATTTGCACCACAAAAAGAATCAAATAGATAAAGCTCTGAAAACTATACAAGTCACTTAATTCCAGTCTCTTGTTCTCAGACTTGTCTGATATTTTTTAATTTGGGAAATTATCATATGAGCTATCAGACCTCCTTAGCTTAATTTGGCTTGCTTTGGTTTCGATTTGATTGTGGTGTCTTTGAAAGGCTTAAAACTCAACCCCAGTTGGTCAAGGTCAGGATAGAGGCATAGAAGTAAAAGGGATTTTCCTGGTAAATTTTAAAAAAAAAAAAAAAAACCCAGACTGTTTCCCACAGGCAAACAGCAGGAGCTGCCCACAGGACCCCGTCTGCAGGCAGGCAGAAGGACCTGCTTACAGGACCCAATATGCAGGCAAGCCGAAGGAGCAGCCCACAAGACCCACCTACAGGACCCGTTTGCAGGCAAGAACCTGGCCGTTGGGAAGGACCAGAAGCCAGAATAGCAGCAATGGCCCATTCTCTGCTCATTAGCTATGAATTGCAATTTACTATCCCTGGCTTCTGATCCACTTATGAAGTGCCTATTCAAATCAAATAAGCACTTTGCAAGCTGCCTTTTTCTGGGCAATGGGGAGAAATTTGGGGAGGAAGTCATTTCCATCTCTCTGCAGTTATCCCAGCTCCTGGTTTCTTGTCTACAATACTGTGTTTCCTTTTTACCTTCTGAATCCTGCTACAAGGAAGTGATGTGTGAACTGGATCTGCTTTTCCAGATGAGTCTTAGATGTTCCCTCCCTTCCCCCTTCCATGTGCTGACAGTCCTATTGCTCTTTCCTGTCATTGACTCTGCCCTTAACTCCTTCAAATTTGATGCATCATTCTAGTGAAGTTTCAGACACTTACAGCCTTTTCTGTCAAATAAGAACTGCTTCTGTGAAGTCCAGCAAGTTTAGAAACAGTAACTTTGGTGCACTACTGCTGACTTAATATTTCTGCATATAATGTATACCGTGCTTTAGGACTTCTAACACAGCTTCTTCACTCAGGTGCCCTTCAGTGGTGAGGAGAGATCATTTGCTAGCAAAGACACCTTTGCTTATATTTCTGTGGTTAGATGCCACAGCCAGTTATATTTAGTCACCTTCGGGCACCATGTCAGGGAGAGTGCTCCTGCCTGACATGTTTTAAATATAGGAAAATACTTCAGATTGAAGTTTTATGCTTTCCAGCCTTAGTCAAATGTGTGGCATAAGTTAGGCCAGGCCTCTTCTCCACTAATGAGAGGATGCTTGCAAGACTGTTCGGGAAGTGCCTTTGTTAAGTTTCCCTTTAGTCACACTTATATTAAGGATACATTATTCATAGTTCACTGAGATTAATAATCGATTGTCATGTGATATCACAAATGTTTAATCAATTGCTGAACTCTGGCTCAATAGATCAGTCACTCACCCTAACCATAGCTTGCTACTATTGTATTCAGAATGACCTGCGTATTTTTCTCCACATTTTTTTCCTTTCAGGCCAAATGAATAGATTACTACAGTTTTCTCTAATTCATTTACTTAATTGGCACATGATTGTTTAAAATATTTTCAAAATTTTTCCATTGTTTGTGTTTCTGAGCTTTGTTCAGCTTACTGCTTGAACAAACAAAATTGATAAACTAAAAATAATTTTGGTCACCTCAAAAGTCAATTTCTGGCAAACAATGTATCATCCAAACAAGCTGCCTAACTCTGTTTCTAATCATTCCCAGTGAATACTTCTCAAGTCTCTGTATTCCTATAATATTATGGCTATATGCATTTTTATAAAAGTACTGCTAAGATAAAGAGATCCAATCTAGTCAAGGTCTGTTCATTGATTTCTTATGAAGTCTTGTGTGTCTTGCACAGCTAAGCCCAAGTGCCTAATGATAGGCCAGAATAGCCAGTTTTTTCCTCTGGACTGCCCTTGGGCAGAGTAGATAAAGTACAGGGCCACAGTGATTTTTTTGTGTGTTATTTTACACCTTATTTGCACCGAATAATATGACCACAGACTACAGCAGCAGTGAAGTAAGTTTCCACATGGGTCAATCTGCATAGGAGTATGTATTCGGTTTATGTTCCTCTCAAAGGCTCTGATGGGTAGCTGAACATTTGGATATACTATAAAGATATAGTGTTTATTCACTGTGAACTACTTGTGACTCACACCTGCTTTTAACTTTATAACAGATATATGGGAGTGCTGGGCACACATTTCTTTAACACCTAGATGCTAAGCAACAGACTTTCCTTGTAGCAGCTACTCACAAAAACACGCCTGAATACTGCTCTCATCACCGCTCCCTCAACACCAAGGAATTTACCACAATTTATGCATGAAGCTGCTAGTCATTAATCCTAAATATTAGGCATAGAGGAATAGGAGGAGTAGAAGGGCACTAAAGTCTAAAGGCCAGGGACATTTTTTTATTTGTATAATGTCCTGATCAGGGCCTTAATTAGTTGCTGGCTTTTAGGTCAGTCAGAAACACCCACAGTCTACCCTTCTCCTAAAATAACACTGATTCTGGAAGCCATAGCTAGAAGCATCCTTATCCCTATCCAGTGCCTTATTGTTTGGGTATTAGAGTTCCCCAGTAAATGGTCTTATTTTAGAACACAGAGTAACTCATCTAAGTCCTTTAGAAGATGTTTCAGTTGATTTGTTCATTTTGTTCTAATTTTCCACATCAAACAGGAAGTTTGGACTTCCATGGGCATCACTAAGAGTCTGAGTTAGGACTTTGCAGCAGCAGCAAAGCTAGCTGTGTTGGTCTCTGGGCTCACATTGTCTCACGTGTAATATGTACACATAGCCTTTTCTCCATGGCAAGAACTAACCAAGTAGTATACCGCTAAAAATACAGTTCTTAAGACGGCAAAGGTTGAAGACTAGTGTCCTCATGCCCCTGGCCCATCTCACCCACCCTGCTAGGGGATGGTTCTTGCAGCATTTCACATGCCAGCAGCAAGGCACCTCTTCTGGAAAACAGCAGTGGGAGACACTGCAGGAGGTCATAAGGCAGAAGGGCTGGCCCTCTTCATGGGGAGGGTTTTCCCTCTGTTTCTCCAAGGGTTTTGGAAACCCCCCTTACTGCCACTACACACCTGCCCTGGCACTCTCAATGTCCTTTGCTATACTCAGCAGCCAGGATGACTGAGCTCCCAGTACTTTAGGCCTGCTCCTCTGTATTCACCTGAAGAACCACTGAGCACATGCAAAACCCATTTTTACACACCTGTAACTCAAAGGCATTAAACATTTTTTCCTACCAGTATTTCAATGCAGAGAACAGTAACCTTAGAACTACCATAGAGGTAGCATTTCTATACATAGTGTAGGATGCAATGGGGTATGCAGAGAGAGGTATAGTACATCTACCGAGCTATGTACCATTTCCACAGCAGTTCTGTGTGAATAGGGGGTAAGTCTGTATGTAGCATGTAGAAGTCACTAAGGATAAAATTTGAAGCGCCTATGGTCATTCTAGCAGGACTGAAATTCCTGTTATTTAATTATAAAACAGATAAATATACTACAGGATCATTAGCATATATTAATGCAAAAATGCACAACCCAAAACTGTCCTGGTTCCCCATCAGTGGATGGTCCTCAATTACATAAAACAAAATCTGGCCAAAAAAAAAAAAAAAAACCACCAAAAAACAACAGAATCCTGATTAGAATCTTCATGTTAAAACTGTGCGCACATCAATCCCCTCAGGCTAAAATGATGCAGCTGTACTGTACTTCACAATGTAGTTGAGCTGCTGTCGGGCTTACCTTGCATGACTCATGGTGAATCATGGACAAAATTGTGTATTAGAGAAAGAGATGCCGCCCACGCAGAGCAGAGTCTTGAGTTATTCCCACACTATTGCTTCCCCCTCCAAGTGAAAACACATTTGTTCACATTCAGCATTGCAGCTATTCTGTCAACACAGTCACTTAGGTTATTTCTGTATGTTTCTAATGGGGAGGCTTTTCAATTTGTTAATACTGTGATATAATTAACAGTCAGGGACATCAGGTCAAATCTAATCCCCAGCCATCTCAGAGCAATTCCCCATCTGTAGCATGGGGGAGGGGAGAGGTTAGTATTATATGATACAATTAATTCAAAAATAATTATAACAGGATAAAATTACAGCATCATTATCAACAAGAAGGCAACAGCAAACAGGAAGTCGGCATCCATGAGCTAAAGCATAAATCCAGGTACTGAAAGAGCATTATCCTAAAAACATCCACAACTCACTGATTCCAGTGAGAGCTAGGGGTGTCTCAGAATTAGCAAATTTATAAAATTGTGAAGGTTTTAAACTCTGTAAAATAATCCCTTTCACTAAAGCACGGCACTGCTCGTTTGTTAAAGCTGCCAGCATTCATTTTCGCTCTGCTGCACGGTTCTTGAGCACCAGAGGACAGCAGAGACAAAGTCTTGGGAAAAGCTACAGAAAACTCTGTAGCACCAGATGGCAGCTTTCTCTAAAACAGTGTCAGGAGGTAGAGAGAAACAAAGAAATTAGTACCTTCTTGGCTATAATTTTCCCAAAGCATTCAGATCATATTCCACTTTCTTTCCCAAATAAACAACCCCTGATATAGATCAGGGAATCACTTTGGGTTTTTTAGACTTCAGGTAACAATACCTGGGATTCTGTGAAGGTTGTGTAATCTCTGCTACTATAGCTATATTCAGTAAATCTCATGTTCTTGCAGACTACCTGCTTATCTAATAAGAGCCCTTCTCTCTGCTTAACAGCTGCTTCATCTTTTTCCTTTTTTATGATTTTTTTAATGGAATTTTAAGGGGGTTTATGTGCACTGTGAGAATCAACAGGAGGTATATTTAATTTTTTAATATGCATTGTTTCATCTACATTTATGGCAGTGAACTTAGAAATCTGCAGGCATAAAAAGGTAAAGGAAATAGGTAACTTCATCAAAGCAGGCTACAGTTTTAAGAGGATCTCAGCAGGTTAATTTCAGTGCAGTATACTTGTGTCCCAAATCTTTGTTCTATTTTATTAAAAACATGCAGGGCAACATCTGTGCATAGTCGAATTCAAGAATATAAGGGACCATGTGGAAAGTAATAACACCAGAGGAAAAAACTAGCTGCATAAAAGAAATGAAAGAGAAATATTACGCAGGAGCCATCTAGGACCATACATGGTCCTAATAATGTTACAAATATCTATACTAACTGAAAGAAAAAAAAATTTGGTCATCAGTTTATCATTACAAATTACTATTTTACAGGACCAAAGACCTATATGCATAGCTCCACATGAGGCCTAGAAAAAAGAAGAAAAGGAACGATTGTGATTTTCACTTTTAAATATATGAGAAGTGCATCTCCTGTTCCTGCAGGGCACTAGAACCGGATCAAATAGCTCACCTGAAGCTTATTTGTTAAGTATTTGCTGAACAACCTGTTGAATCAGAGCACATAGATAAATGAAGGACCTCTTTATTGAAAGACAGTATGTCTGGCATCTAATTGTTCTATTTAGGGACTTAGTTTTCCATGTTTTTAAGTTGCAGATGAGAACAATGTTACCTGCAGGGTTGGTGAAAGTTTGCTTCGGTTAACATAAAAGTACAAAAATGCTTACCTACTTGTAGAAAAACATAGAAGCATTTAAATACAGGCAGCATCGTGCAAACCCTGCATACTTAGCTAGGACAGTAGTATCTCAATTCTTGCAATTGCTTTCATGTGCAGGAGTGCTACAACCTATAGGTGCTGCCACAAACTAAATAGCAAGAACTCGCTCAGGGCACAATGATCTAAAACCCATTCTTAGTCTCCTATTCACAAAAGAATTGTTTCAGAAAGAACATTTAACAGATCGCACTGTACTCTAAATACAAAGGAACACCTTCTTTTAAGCATTAACTTCAGTGAATATATAGTTTAGTCACTCCTTCCACGTCTCTACCACTGACCATGAAGTCAAAAGTAAACAAAATAATACCAACTTTTGCCTGTTAGGTTTGCACTGATAGCTGAGAACTTCTTAAGTATGTGTTCCTGGAGCTCAGTGTCGCTCTTCAGTGAGTCTGAATTGCAATGGTAACAGTGAGATCACGCCTAACAGAGGCAGTGCATGAGCAGTCTGGAACTTCATTATGGAAGAAGCTACAGTCATGTAGAAGGATCTTTCAATCCAAGGCCTTAATGCTGCAGTGAACTCTACTAGTCAGTCCTCTACATCCATGTGAAGTTCACTGTGGGATCATCGCCTGTGACAGATCCGGTGATCAACATAAAAAGAGTCACTGGCTTCTTTGCTTCCAGTCCAGCAACTGCCAACTCATCTTTCCCCTTGTTGTTCTCTCTCAGTCTCTGCCTTAAGAGCTTCTCTTTGTTTAAAATCAAAACTTAACTGTTTTCTGTCTGCATCTGTTTATTGTATAGAAATACACCACAAAAAGTTGTTGTCAGGTAAAAATTTTGCTGTCCATACAGCAAAAAGGAGAAATGTTCTCCACATCTCATTTTTCAATCCCTAGTCAAGGATTTCACGCTGGTGCTGACAGTTGCTGCCAAAGCATTGCTTTTTTGGTTTACAAAGAATTAAACAGCAGCTTCCCTGCAAAAAAAGATAATCTGAGAACAAAATATTTTACGCCTAGCTATGGTCACCTGGTTTTGTCTAAAAATCAGGAAATCAGACTTTTTAATAGTTTCCTTTTGAAATTTCAAAAAATAGCTTAATTTGTCTTTCACAAAGAAAGAAACACAAAAATGTCCTTTCTTGTAGGCAATGCTGGGACGAGGTAATGGAGAGTCCTCAAGAAAGAAAGAGGAAGAGGAAGTTCAGAGCAGGCACAGACTGATCCCTGTTGGAAGAAAGATTTATGAGTTCTACAATGCTCCCATCGTTAAATTTTGGTTTTACACAGTAAGAAACCTTTCCTGTTATATTACTACTGTTTGGACAAATATTGAGATTGGATTAAGGTCATCTTGTGTGTTTCATTGAAAGTCTGCATCTGCGTGCATTGGAGGGCTTACCTGTAAATAGTTTAATAAAAATCTTTTGTGGAGGTCAGCTAGCACTTGCAAACCCATCTAAGACTTTTAAAGAGTACTATTTGATTCAGGAAGTTAATGGTTAAAATTTGAATGACTGTGTATGTTTTTCTTCAAATACAACAATAAGCAGCAGTTTGCTGCAGTCAGTGCTCCCAAGGAATTTGCTGTAGGAGAATTCCCAATAGGAGAGCTCCCAATAGTAAGCCCAATGGGAGGCTGGGCTGAATGAGGATGTCGAATTGTATAATAATTGATGAAAAAAAGAAGCAGATAGAGCACAACTTTTCTTGGAACATTTTTTCTTTGTTCTGACTGGTCTGCAGAGTGTCTCTCAGAGAAAGTGTTTGTGTAAGTACCCACAAGATAACATTATTCAGGGATGAATTATGCCAAATCAGTATAATATTCTTGTGTTATAAAGAAACAGACCTTGCAGGTGGAGCAGAAAAAACATTACGTCATATATTTTTACTTAAGTAAGACAGTGTCAAAAACTTTACAGGGTATTCTCACAGATAAATTAATAACTGCTATATTAAAGTTACTATGTGGATACAAAGCTTTTTGGCAATTAGTCCTCAAGAGTAGATATTAATTATTCACTATCAAGCTGGTGGCAGAGATTAGAAAGGATTCCATTTGGGTTTCTCCTATATCAGGTGTTATCTGCTATTTTCATTCAAAACTGGGATGATGGAGGAGAGATTAGTTATTAAATTTGCAAATTGCACTAGAACGTAGAAGGATGAGATCAAAAAGTAAAATGAACACAGAAAGTAATCCTTTCAGTCTCCTTGGCTGGAATATTCTATCCCAGTTCAGCTTCTGCATCACATGACAAGTATGGACTCATCTGAAGGACACAAAAAAGAACAAGAAAAATGTCTCAAGAGGTCTGTAAAACATAACTTAACAGGAAGGATTTAAGGAAGTGAGGTTGTTTTCTCTAGAAGAAAGAAGTCTGCAGAAGGAATGTAATAGTCTTCAAATAGGTGTAAGTAACTGCAGAGAGGAACAAAATGGAATGATCTCCAAATCCTTGCTGAATAGGACATGAAGTAATGGTTTAAATTGCAGCAATGCAGTTCCAGGTAAGATGTTAGGAAACAGTTTCTAAATGCTCTCAAAAGTACTGTCATAAACTGTGTAAGGAGATGGTAGATTTTCCATTATTAGTCTAATCTTATCAAAACATATGTCCACTATGGTACACTGTAATTAATCTTGCCTCCGCACCGTGGAATTGGCCAGATGATTTCCGGTGTTCCCTCCCAGTTATATTTTCCATCATTCTGCTGAATGCACAGCAAATCACAAAGAACACATCCTTCTGTAGATATCTTCTTATAAGAAAAATGCCTTGCTGAGATCCAGGCAATATGTCTACAGACACCAGGAGCAACTCACATGAGCAGAGACAAAACTGTGGTGGACAGGTTATGCAGGCAAATAGCTCCAGCTTGGCTACTTGAAGTAACTACTTGCTGAACTGTGTGGCAACTGAACATTAATCAGGCTGATGAGTCTAGAAACTGCTCATCAGCAGCCTAGTCTCATTATCAATTGCAGTATGTATTATGCACAACCAGAAAAGTCTTTACACTGTAAACAGAAAGAAGCATCCTGGCTCTCCCTGTTAGTTCAATTCTGAAATGGGAGAAAAAGATCAATATTGCATTTCCATTTAGACCTGTTCCTACATTTTTATGTCCTGAGGCAGGTCTCAATCAAGGTCATTTATTAAAGCTGGATCTTGGCTACACTGAACTTGAAGAGCAAATTAAGGTGGTTTCTGGCTGCAGTGCTTGACCGGTTGGGTATATTGAGAAACTCCTGGAAACTAAAAGCAAAACGACTTGCAGATGAGCATTAAAATTGAACAGCCTATCACACTTTTTACAAGCGCATAGGCAGAAATACTAATCATAGATTTCAAAAGAAATCCTCCAAATTTTACATTCCACACTCCAAAATGCAAGAAAAGTGACTATACTTATGGCTATTGTATGCCATTTAAAATAATTTTCATTATTCTGTATCTACCTATCTGCTATTACTCTATAGCTATATCCACCTTCATTCTTAAAATACACAAGAGTGGGTTGAATATGGGGACGTTAGAGTAAGTAACATTTTGGCTCAGCAGACAAACCAAAATAAACAGCTTTTTCTCAACCAAAAATAATTTAGCCTTTCTCTCTGGACATGCAGTAGTTTGAAATGTCAACTACTCTGTTCTGTTTTGTGGCTGTTGCATTGAAAACCATGACTCAAAGGTTTCATCTCACAGATTGCTTGAGGAGAAGATGGCCTTCCCCTTTTAACTACTAGCTTTAGGCTGAGATGCTAAAGGGATATAACAGGCCAAATTTCTACCTGTTCTGAGAAGGAACAGCTGCAGAGGGAATTGAACCCTGAGTAGGAGTCATCTTCTTCTAAACATCAAAATAGCTTTGCCCTAAGTTTTGCATTTTGGGACCACTTCACTTTATGATCATTTAATTATTGCAATGAGTGAGGAAAGGGGAGGGTAGTCTCCCTCTTGAAGCACTCTCCTGCTGGTACAATTTCCAGGTTTGTCCCATACCGTAATAAGTATTTGAGTATTTTCTAAAGAATGGGACAGCATCCATAGGAGGGCACGGAGAAATGCAGCCTAGAAACTTCTTAGCAGGTATTCCTTTCCTTCATTTCTCCAGGTACTGCCCTCAAGGGTGAAAATGGCAGCCCCTGGCTCTTCGTCAAGCCATGTAAAAGAGAGAAAAAGAGGGTTAAGCTACTTGTGTAGTAGCACTTTCAAAGAACCTTGAGTACCAGCATGGGCAGCTGTACTGAGGTTTGAACACAGTATGGGATCAGGACATCCTCCTGGAAGGCAGGAGCAAATTATAGGTCTGGGGAGGGAGAAGGAGGGTGTCACTCACTACCTGAAGGGCTTTTTTCTTGGGTTAAAGTGTTGCAGTTTCAGCATCATTTTATTCTTAAAGAGGCTTTTTTTTTTTTTGCCTTTTTTTTTTTTGCCAAGCAAAAATTTTCAGCAATTTTCAGTAAATTTAAATTGTCAAAAAAACCCAAAACAAACCTAAACCCAAAAAACCCAACACTTCAAAAGAAAACCAAGTAGAAGCAAAACCCCCTAGTTACACTGAGGGTCTTGCACTTTCTGTCACCTTTGTAACCTTAATATCCCTATTCTTTTGGATACTAACTGCAAATGCTCATCAAAGGCTGCTGAGTCAGATGAAATTAATAAGATTTGCTGATAATTAATAATCAATAAGATCTAAGAGGAGATGTGTTAGGTGACAGTATCACCTGTCTTTTTGCACTGTAGTAGAAGGTGATATTTCAGCTAGGGAGGTGTGCATCCAGTTCTGCCTGCCCAGACAGAGTTTCTGCTGACTCAGCTGATATCCTAGATGCTGACCTAAGTCAATATTGCTCTCTGTTTCCTTTAGGAGTGTTAAGGGAAGACTAGTCTCTAGACCTGAGCATTGCAATCCATCATCATGCACAAATGAGATCATTTCCTCCTCTGTTTTATGTAGACAAGAAGCAGTGGTTCAACTGGCTGTCTTCTCCATACTGATAGTTATGGCCAATGTAAAGAATTCTCTCGAGTGTCCTTCAAACCAGCAAATGGAAGAAAAGCCAGAACCCTGTGGCTTTTACACAGAGCAGAAGTGATGTTCTCTTACAAATACAACAGGACTATAAATACTGTTCTGTGAGATGCTGAACACTGAAATAATCCTACCCAGAAGTCTCAAGCACCTCTGTGGTTGTTTCATCATAAGTCTGACACCAAGTACACAATAGTTGTGAGTAACATGGAGTTGAGACAGAAAAACTGTATTGAAATTCAGATATATGGAATAAGCTTTCTGCCACAATGACTAAAATGTTCATGCACAGAACTGAATCATCTTTTCTCTGATTTAAATTTGGCTTAACATGCATTTTCTTGTAGGGCTGCTGTTTGAAAGGCAAAGTAGACAGGGAGTTGGCTTCTGGACACCACAGACCCCAGCCACAGCCACTCGCCCTTGCTACAGCCCATGCTCCAGTGTGACACTCAGGATTCTCTGTTTTATGAACTTGATGATGCAATTGCCTGTCTTGCCTTTTTTTTTTGACTGACCATTTCATTACATTCAGCATGCAGAAAGAAAGGAAAAAGAAACTAAAAATGTAATCCATACTTTCCACTGTATCAAAAATTAGACCAGAAGGTAGATGTATTAGAGAAGGAAAAGCCAACCAGTTATACATAAAAACTTGTAAAAAATATAAGGCAAATGAATGCATGGCTATGCCTAGCTACTTGCTGCTGCAATGTGAGTAGAAGTAGTAGTGTTTTGGGGAGGAATCATAGGATAGGTTAGGTCAGTACTATGCTTGGTAGGAAGACCTCTAGCAACACCTCGGACCTTCTGGGCTCCAGGCAAGGATTGTGCAAAAAGTATTTGGAATGCCAGAGTCAGCCTAGGCTAGGTGAACAGGGAGAAAAAGCACAGAGGAGGAATGTTAGAGGAGTAAAGGGTGTTAGCAGATAAGGGAGAAATCTTCACACAGGTAACTTAGTTTGGTCATTGGCATAGTGGTATCAGAGCTCCCGTCACTGTGGGATGATCCAGGGGGACTGCATTAACACAATTTTGTTGGGGAGGCAGACATAGCTGGAGGAGAGTATGGCTGTGCATGTATTTTGCAGATTCCGCACTGTATGTGATTTAATATGAGCTTTTTCAGACAACCCAGAACACTGTCTGTTTGTGCTTTTGTCTGTTTAATTCTGGTTACAGTGAAATTAGGAATACCAAATCATACCCAAGAAACTGGCTCAGTCATATAAATATAGTGACTATTGATATTCATTTTGTTTCTTTACAGCTGGCATATATAGGCTACTTGATGCTCTTCAATTATATAGTGTTAGTGAAGATGGATCGCTGGCCATCTACACAGGAATGGATTGTCATCTCATACATTTTCACTCTGGGAATAGAGAAGATGAGAGAGGTAAAATCACCCCAACCAAGAAAGACAGAATAAAAAAGAAATAAGTGTGAGGTTTTTTATTTTAATATCTGTTTTTATTATTTGTCTTAGGACAATTTTTTATGAATGGGCTTATCATAAAATTGCTTGTTCTTTGCAGAAAAGCAGATGGATTGTTAGAAACACAGCATGAAAAAAATCTTTCTTCCTCCATTTTGAAGTCACAAATCTCTCTCTTTCTTTCTCTTTCTCCCACAGAATTTCTCTATTCAGATTTCTATGATGCACGTTTAATAGGATTCACAAGTACAGGGCAGTCTTCTGACATATCTTAAAGTTTGGCTATATTCCTTGAAATGTGGCGCAGAAACTGAAGTATTTTTCAGGGAGAGAAAAAGGAGGTACACTATAACAGAATGGACACGGAGACATGGTGATAGCGTGACAACCGAGAAGCCTATGTTCGAATCCCCACCCTACCCCAAATAGAGTTCATTCAAAATTTACAGCTGTTCTGTCTGTCCAAGTATCTCATGCAAAGGCTTTAAATAAAACTAGCCATAACTGGGGGAAAATTTAGATCCACATTGAATACTGCAGCACATTTCTAACAGGATTTCCCCCTTTTAATCTTGAAAAGTTTTGCTAATTATGTCAAGCAATAGCATGCATCTTCCTAAAGATGCTAAAGCAGACACATAGAGCAAAGACAGAGCATTTAAGGTGGCACACGGTCTATAGGCAGAGTGATCTGCCATCCCCTGCCTCTCATGGTCTCTCCCACTTGCAGCTACTGCTGTGCCCTTTTCACTTGGCCAAATGCACATTTATTCCACAATGACACCAGAGGCCAAATTCAGCCCTGATGTGAGTGGGTGCGAGTCTCGTTGACCTCAGCTGAAACAGCACATTTGTACCCCTGGGCTGAATTTGTTACCATCTACATTTGTATTTTCTGCAGCACGTGCTTTTGAGGACTAGACTAAAAACGGTCTTGCAACAGCCACTTAAACTTCAAAGGCAGATTTCAAACACTGTATGGTAAACTCTACATTATAAATAAAAAGAACAGTGGAAAAGTTACTACTTTTGTGGCCTATAATGAGTGTAGTTCAATAACCAAAAGACAAAGGAGAACAGTAGCAGTAGCCACATGAGGACTCTGCAACACTGATGGAGACAAAGCACCGCTGGCTCAGTAGGTGGGAAGCTGTTGGCAGGAATCGTGTGCGCCATGATTTTTGTCTAATCACTCACCCCAAGTTGTCCTTTCCACAACAGTATATCAAGAACATTTGTTGTAATGGATTTCTAAGCAGATGTTGGAGATTGTTCACAGAAGATGAGCCTAAAATTCATTCTGAAAATGAATTATAAGGAAATTATAAGAATGGCGTTCATCTTTTTAAGGAACTGTATGAGTCTGCTCAAATGTTCGGAGGCTAAATATAGAAAATTAAAACAAACAGCTTGTTAACTCACTAAAAGCTAGGAATTATTCATAGAAATCACTTGAGGAATAGTTTCAACAGTAATTCAGGAAAACAATCAAGTCTCCCAAATTATCTTGCAAATAGAATGATGATAAATTCATAAGGTAAGATTAATTATTTTTGTGAATTATATCCTCAGCTGTAGAACTCAATTTCCACAATGGGTCCAAGTAGTAGCTAGTATCTCTGTGGATTAAATGCTAAATCCAGATCTTTATGCTTATTAATCATTTATTGACAGTTTGATACACATTTTAGAATAATTTTCTTTAAATTTACAGCTTCTTTACATGTGAATTTTCTGATGAAATATCCTTTTATATTTCTCATTCTATTCCAAGACTCTAAGTAGGGTCAATAAATTTGAAAACAGAAAGGTAAACATATATTTCTTCTGATTTCGCAGGGATTTTAGAGCAAGAGGGGTTTTCGTCCTTTTTCTTTTAAGTATCTTGCACGTAGATACAGGCTAAGAATGGCTGAAATAGAAGATTTCACAAAAAAATCAGAGAGTACATGAGATATTTATATGATAGGAGTCTATCAGCTTTGCTTTCAGCCTGTGTGGCGTATATCTGTTTACTATAGATTTCTTCAAGCTTAAATTAAGACAGCTCAGCATCTTTCCTCTCCGTGTCCTCTGTCCTTCAGATATTGATGTCAGAGCCTGGGAAACTGTTACAGAAAGTAAAAGTTTGGCTCCAGGAGTACTGGAACGTTACTGATCTCATAGCTATCCTCCTGTTTTCTGTCGGGATGGTGCTCCGTCTGCAAGATCTGCCACTCCGGAGCGATGGCCGAGTGATATACTGTGTTAACATCATTTATTGGTATATACGGTTATTAGACATCTTTGGAGTAAACAAGTATTTGGGACCATACGTTATGATGATTGGGAAAATGGTAAGAGAAGTTGATATACTTGTTCTATGTTTTACCAGCATGTTCTTCACTCAATGTCTTCAGCCAATGATATCACTGCAGGTTTATCTGTATTTTTTTTACACATTAGCATTTTCATGTAAGCTAGAAATCAGTGCCTTATTGAAACAAAACCTCAGCATAGACCCCCAAAATTGAGGATTATACTCTCCCTGTTCTGTTAGATGATGTATTGCTTGTCTTTCTCTGAGATCTCTCTTCAGCAGCAAAGCCATCCATCCTACACCTCTTTGCCCCATTTGCAGAAAATACAAAGGATGCTAATTCTCAACTAGTTGTAAAGGAGAGTAGTTTGTTATGGTAAGAAAAAAAATGTGTTTGGTACCTTGAGACTCTCAAAGAAAGTATGTTGTAATAGGCATGGTATGTTCAAAACTATAATGGTTATGATTAAGACTGTGACCTTTTTATAGTTTGCTCCATATCAATATGTTCTTCCATCTTTCCTGTTTGGGTGTGTCCTTGTGAGGTGAGAAATCCATCTGCATAACTGCAGCCTCTGTCCCCTGGCCACATCACATGTACACAACATGGCAGGAGTATGAATAGTTTATGTAATACTAAATGCATACAGGAGGCATGCATGGCCAGACCATCTATATCATGCACAGTCATCCCTAGGAGTTGCATCTGCTTGCTCCAGGCTGCAATAGGCTTCCTTGTGTATTTTTGTTTAAATCACATGTCCATCTACCTCCTTGGGCTCTGTCTTTTTCCTTTCATGGTCTTGCAAGCACGTTTCAGTACTATGGAGAACAGCAAGCTTGTTATACATATTTCTCCAGAGTAAGCCCATCACAGCTATTGAGTTCCTCAACAGACCAGATTTAACACCTGAGGTTTTATCCTGAGCTTCTATTGTGATTAAGTTTTAGACTCAGGAGGAAAAAGATTACTCTTTCCACCTTTCCAATGTTAAAGAACTTTATCTTCACCTGCTTCTACATTGTATCCAACAAAATAGCTCTAATAGGTTTTACCTCTGGGCACAGCGAACGAATATGCAAGTGAAATTAAGAAAGGGGCAGGAATGGGCTTGAGCAGTTTAAAAGCAATGGGCTAAAGCGAAGATGAAGATAGGAGAAGGAAGCTGAATGGCCAAGTTTATTATTATCTACTAATTTCAGTAACAGGATATGCTTATTATAACGTGCTTTTATGATCTCTGCACAGTGATAGACTTACTCCTCTTTTATTCGGGAATGAAATGAAATCACTATGGCACGTCAAGAGAGTCAGAGGTATATCAGTTCCCTTACTGTGTGGGAATGTCTACATTTTCTTAGCTTCTCTGCGAATAAAAAGGGGGAAATGGAGCCAGCTTGTTTATAAAACTGCAGGTTTATACCAACAGTTCCTCATTTTATCACTTTTTTGAATAGGTGACTAATGAGTTTTTCAGAATGATTGAAAAGGCCATTGCCATATTGAAATAGCAATTGTAATTTGATTCTACAGGCCAAAGGGCCTGATACAATGCCCATTAGAGCCAGTGGAAACTTACCCATGTATTTCACTGGATTTCAGACAAGCTACTGAGGTTTTAGAAAGATACCCAAGTGAAGGAGGGAAAAGCTAATATGCAGCTTGAATAGAGAATAGAACTGAAAATTTTATTTCTCGCAACATGACGTCAAACCTGTGTGATTCCTGATCAAAAACACTGGAAGCATTTAAGAAATTGTCTTAAATTGCCACCAAATATTCATTTTTTATTTGCTCGCATGACATTTTAAAATAGGTGTTGTATTACATCATACCATGTTCTATATTTCTACCTGAAACAAAGTTTCATCAGAGAAGAAAGGAGGAACCAGGTTTCATCTCCAAATTCCTTCCCTAAAAGCAGTAAGAACTAAATGTAATTATGCAGCTTTTCCATTTCAGGATGCTGTCTGAGGTACAATGATCTAGAATTCCTCTTCAATCAGGTTTTCTTGAGAGATTAATGCTCGGAATAACATAGGAATATTGGTGATTTACTGATCTGTTTTTTAATTCTTTAGGCATTCATTTTCCTCTCTCATGTCTCCAGGTGTTGTTTTTTTTCCTTTCCTGCATTTTTTATCGACCTCAAGATAAAAGACTTTGTTTTGCCCTGGGATTTTTCACTTGTCCCCAGTTCCCTCTTTGCAGCTTCTTCAGTCTCTCCTACTAGAGCCCTGCCCTACAGGTGTCTTCGACCTACAGCCCCTCTCTCAGTAAATATGAGAATATCCTTTTCTGTTTGCTCCTCTGTATCCCCCTCTTTTCTCTGTTAGATATTTTCCCAGTGTTACTTTGACCTCTGGTCTCTCTCCTTGTGCTTTAAAACTGAAGAACCCCGGCAGCAGTGCCAGATCCATCTGCTGCGAGTGAGTCCCCTCTTCCACCAGCTCTTCTCGTGAGCAACCCTGCTCTTGAGCTGCAGCAGGTCCCCCATGGAGCAGTAAGGCAACCGGGTGAGGTGCAGGTTGGTTGCATGCCTGCCTTGCAGGGAAGGCAGAATGCAGCTGAGCCAGAAAATGCAGAGACTGAAGGGATTAAAACTCACAGGTTTAGAGGAGTTTTGGGTCGAGTTTTGGCGAGAGACAAAAGTTACATCCAAAGCTGTGAAAAACAGCTCTGTTGTAACAAGCCTTATAACTAAAGACCTATAAGTAAACCTGTAACTAAAGGTTTTAAAGGGATCTTACCAGGGACTTTACAGGACTCCCATGTTTTTTCACATTCATTTTGGGTTATAAAGTATCTCTGCTCTACCTGCTTGATGCCCATTGCTCTGCTCTCTGGAGAGTCTTTTCTAGAACAGCTCCTCTTCTAATCTCCAGCCTCTCTGCAGCACCTCTTAGGATTGCTGTCCCACTTTTTCCATGAACATTTTAAATGGGTAGGCACTGTTTGCAAGCACTAATTAAACTTGTGCATATGCTAATCAGGCCTTCAACAATGGAGAAGAATCAAGCAGAGTGCCTGTGTTACGTTCTTTTTTTTTTTTTTAAATATGTCCTTTGTCATACTCCCCCACCAAGCTGATTCCTAGTCCAGCCAGTATCACAGCTTTCCTTTCTCACTGGTTACCACCATGGTGTCCCTTATGTTGCAGTAACAGGCTGTTCTGCCACACGTTACTCCTTATGTTAGATGCAGCCTCCTTCCTTTGCTCCAAGACAATGACTACCAGTGAATAAAATAATCCATGTCAGCCCTTTTTTTTTTGGTACAGTTGCCACTAGCTGCCTATAAACAATACATCATCTCGTGACCCTTGCCCAGACCAGGCTGCTCATTCCAGTGAACCTATATTCTTGTTCAGGCAACTGGTGTGACCAGATGGTATCTTGTATTTTCAAGCTTATTCATAACATTTAAATTGTTCTTAAAAGCAACACTAGGTAAAACCAAGGACACAATAATACTGCTTCACTTCTTTGAAAATGAAATTTGTTATGCATAAAACCGAGAATGGCTTTTCAAAATTTGATTTTGAAAATTCTGTTTCTAAGCTTTGCAAACCTTTTTTGCAGCATATAATAGTAGGAATATGGACAAATACACTCCTCTAATTCTTGTCCCTTCTCTCTCTTTCTCTTTTCCTGTCATTACATTCAGATGATAGACATGATGTACTTTGTCATCATCATGTTGGTGGTTCTGATGAGCTTTGGTGTCGCAAGACAGGCTATTCTCTTTCCCAATGAGGAGCCTTCGTGGAAGCTGGCGAAAAACATTTTTTACATGCCTTATTGGATGATCTATGGGGAAGTGTTTGCAGACCAGATAGACCGTAAGCAAGTTTATGATTCTCATACTACAAAGTCAGGTATCCAACTTTGATCAGATGATGTGCTATTAGATCATGTGTGTATGCTCAATAAATGGCTCAGGATAGAGGAACTTCTCCATCACAGAGAATGGTCACAAAAATATTTTTTTCAGCTAATATTGGGGTGTCAGTTTCAGAACATGCTTCTGGCATCACTTCACAATTATTTAACCGGAAATCTGTAATGTTAAATTACCTTGCATATAAAGAATGTTTTAAATGGTTTCTTTTTACCAGCTGGGTGACAAGGATACCCTCCCAGGTATCCACCATGAGTTCACTGATACAATTGGGACATGAAAAGTCACTTCTTTTTTTCTCATCCATTGGTTTCATTTTAGACCTAAATACTTTTTACCTAACTTCATACTGAGCAACAGGTCCAATTATGCTGGGTTAGACCTTCAGCTCCTGCACTTCATGAGGATCTAATCCAATGTGTTTTCTTTTCTCTGTTACCTACTGACTGCCACCACCTTTATGCTAAACCATGTGATGCAATTCTTTGGAGACAGTAGATCCATTATTAGAATTTTGCTTTATTTATTTATTGGAAGGCAAGACTGTGCTCTCATCAGTGCAAACAGAATGAAAGACAGTATTTCATATACTATCTCCTCAGGATTCATTTGGCTGGTGATCAGGAAAATGCTAGTTTTCTATTTAAATTAAACCTCCTGGTGCTACCTGGTGTATTATGCCAAAGGAGAGGGGTGATCATGTGAAATGATGAGGTAGATGAGCAAGCTAAGAATCACAAACAATGTATCTTTAGCAAATACTGACATGCAACTGATTTTCATCATTCCTGCTTAAATATGTGTAAGCCTTGGCAGCATTTAGAAGTGAGTATCTTTTCCAGTGGCAGATGGCCTCCATTAAAGCTCTGTTTAGGATATTCCTTTTTATCCTTTGTACCACCTTAGGAAAAGGCAGTGTTTTCATAATTTATCTTTTGCTTTTTCAGTATTGACCAAGTTTGAATGGAAAAAAAGGTGTTGATTTTTCCTGAGCTGGTTAAGGGAATAAATGTATCTATATCACCAAAAATGCACCCAACTTAATGGAGTTTCAGATGGACAGAAATATATGTATCACATGGCAGATATTTCAGCAGTTCCATGTTCATTTCTTCTTCCTGGTTAGCACAGAATCATTACTGTGGATGCAGATGAAACCTCTTTTTTATGTTTACTTCTCCACTTTGTTTTCAGAGGCAGGATGGCGTGTAAGGAAATAAGGAAATACCTAAAATCACAAAGCTTCTCACTGAGTTTAGCTTTTCACCTGATTGCCTCATTTTTATCCTTTTTCCTTTTCTTTTCTTTTTAAAAATTAATTTCATTCTGAAGGCATAATAGCTGGGGGTATAAAACTTCATCTCACTCCAAAAGCATAAGAGAGGGATAAAGGTTTATCCCATTAAACTATGACTTCCTTCCACAAGCAGAATTCTGTCTGTCCCTCTACAAGTGGCCATTTATTGATATTGTAGTAAGTAACTACCATACTGCAACAAACATGGCAATTGGCTGAACAAAAAGTTCCTGGTATTTTTTTTAGTGAAGTGCTGATTATAGTTTAGAACCCTGACACCTGAGAAACTAAAATGTCTTTGAATTAAGCATGGTTTTTAAGTGCGAGAAGAGGGTGGCAGGCTCCATACCCTTGCATAAGGATTTGGTCATAGACTTGTGTGTTATTCAGATGCCCAACATTTAAACCTTGCAAAAAGATGCAGCATGATTTCTTCTGAGGCTTAGGAAAAGCAAAATTCCTGATGGTTTCAACTCCAGCTGTAAGTGTAGACATGTTGTCGTTCTGTCTAGGTCAAGGAAACCAGGAGTTGCAGCAAAAGTGGTGATGCCAAAATGAAAAGCAGCACCTAGTTCCTCCTTCCTGAGAGACAGATGATGCAGGGAATTAGAATCTGCCACTCTTTCAGCACAAAATATGTGCAATACATCACATCCGTCTGAAGCTTGGTTGTCTCAAAAATGTTACCTCTGGAATAGACTGGGAGCATGAGCAAATTTTTAGTGATGTTGTTATACAATCAAAATTACCTGATTGGCACCCAAAAGGTTTTACTAATACACTTACATTTTTTCACTATTTGGAAATTTGTTGTTATATATATTTTCCAAGTTGTTCTAAGCTAAATCAGCCGCTGTATTCATGTTAGAGTACTACAGTATTTGTACTTTCTCAAATAAGATAAACATGTTCTAAAGTGGTTATGCTACATCTAAACTGCAATTGAACTTTATTGCTTGGAGTACATTTTTTTATTAGTATTATTTTAGAATACAAAAAGGGTTTCTTTGTGGTTTTCTTTATTTTTGGTGTTTAATATTGCTGTTATTTGCAAGTTTAGGATCCAGCAAAAGTGCTGATCTTGGAAGCGCATGTACATCTGATCCACACTCCTAGAGATTAACCTAGTGTCTGAGAAATGTACAAAATAGTATGCTACTCTAAAATTTCTAACTTACTTTTCTTTTTTTTTTTTCATTTTCTGTTGATTTGTGAAGCATGGCATTAAGGCTGACCAGATACAATGTCTGGATCCATCTCATCAGCTGGTAGCCTGTCCATCCAGTGGATCTACTCTGATTTTTATCTCAACACACTGCACTGTTAAAACACTAGCTAAATGCCTCGCTCTAAAATAATGCATATCACATACATTTACATTTTTTACCCATAACTTCTGTATTCATTTCATTTTAAAAATACATATGTTAACTGGAGTGTGCATTAGTGTCCTGTTGGCATGTGATCTCATCTTCAACTCAAAAGTGGGGACAGAATTATATCCTCACTTCTGGGAGTATGAATACACTATTCAGTGGTGTCGTTTATTATCAGTGATGAACATAAATACTACAATCCTACAAATAACTGACTATCAACCAATTTTAAAGGGGGGGGGGGGGAGCAGAGTAAATCTTTTAGAACTGTGTTCAAATTTTCAGGTAAATTCAATGAAAAGAGCAAAACCAGTCTCAAAGTAGTTCCTCTCAGGCTGACAGTTCATCACAGCCATGTTAGCTGGGGGAGGAAGGGAGATCCGGGTCAGGGAAGCAGTGATGGTATATGCAACCGTCTCACTTTCCTAATCCAGCTGAGCTTTGTGGTGCTCAATGGGATCCATGGGGCAGCAGCCAGCCACTTAGCTGCTTTAGTGAATGCCTGTCCGGAAGGAAACCTACAAATGCTGTAAAATCTCTCCCTCAGTTCACCTCACTTACTTTGGCACTATTGCTGGCAATTTTAGCCAAAAAATTCACAACATAGTTGTCACATGCAAAGCTATCTGTCCTTCCAGAATACTATGGATACAGAAGTATATAAGAAATACTGAAGAGGAAAGGATTATTCAGGGAGTGAGTTTGCTTAGTAAAAAATGTAGATAGATGACATAAATGGCAATTTGAGAAATGGCAATCACCTGTAAAAAATTAGCAGCAGACCTCACATTCTCCTATATTCAGAAAGCAAGGCAACAGAAAGTGCTGTTAACCAACACGGGTTTGGGTTTTTTGGTTTCGGCTGTTTTTCAGATTTGCCTGGTGTCTCACATGTCAGATTTGCATCTGGATTTTCTTTCCAGCTGACAGTATTTCAAGTACCATTTGGAATCTGAAGATCAGTCTGAGTTGTGTTTGTTCCATGTGCCTACTCCCTTATTGGAAAAACCTACATAGTTTAAGAGAAAAAGATGGGGCCTCCTTCTCTTTCACTCATACTGGAGGAATGCCAAGTAACCAGAATGCAGTAGTTTCAGAAGATGAGAGATGATTACACACAGGTTTTAACTATCCAATGAACTTAAGAGGAAAATATAATTACTACAAAAGACTTTTAAAAAATTCTTTAAATTTCTTAGTCTGCTAGATTAATTTATTTTTTAAAGTTCTTGAAGGTTTCTTAGTATAAATGAAAATTTTATACTAAATTCTATACAATCTTAGAGGTTTCATGCTTTTCATGTCTCTGTAGGAGCTTCCTGTAAGGGCAGTCATTTGCATGGATCATTCTGGAATTTGAACAAACAGAGCAGCTTTGCACAAAACAGAATAAATCATACCTGTGTTTTCTCTTGCCCTTTTTTTTTTTTTTTTAATCTGTATTGCAGATCTGCAGCACAGACAATATTTTTAGCATTGTTAGACAAAGGCAGGGGATAAAATTTGTGCACAGCCTAAACACCATTTTGAAAGTCTCTCTGGCCTGAGTTGCAGTAGTGGTCCCCTTCCTAGCACTCCTCTGAGGTTATAGTTTGGGTTCTGTTTGGTTGGATACTTTTAATGGGGGCAGAGACGGGGGGGAGGAGAGAGAAGGAACTAGGGAGAACAAGAAAAATACAGGGATTTACTATGAATTATGATTAAAATACCAGCAGATCGGAGAGACACTTCAAAGTCATTATTTATGTGGCTGAGGGCAAGAAGCAGCGTGTAAGGTCACAATGCTGTAGTTAAAGCAACTTTTTTGAAGTAATGAGACACTGTTCAGTTCCCTGGATGTTTCTGCTGATGAACAGAGCAGTGGTGTGAGATTCAGAGTTCCCAGAGTTCAGTATTTTCTCTGTCAGTGAAGAAGTGGACAGCCCAAGGCAGCTCGCTTAGCCTTTTTTCAATATTTACCAGGCTGGCAAGCTGGTAACTTTGCTTAGATTTTTCATTAAAAAATTATAAAATGCTTTCACATCCTTTGGGTTCAGTGCAGATCAAAATTGTGAGGTACCTATATGCTCATAAACAGGGTGATGAAAGTGCATTTAAAATGTCCAGACTTGAATTTAAAAAAAAAGATGGGTTGGTTTGTTCATTAATATGCACTTATTGGTTTCCTTATTCTTTAGAATTGTGATCATATGAACCCATTCCACAGTTTCTTGTGATTTCAAACAAATCAACTTGTATTGTGAAAGTGGTATCCATTTTTATATAAGAAGTTTTCATCAAAGGCAAAAGCTATTTTGTAACAAAGCTGTTCAGCTATGCACTTTCCTCTCTCCACTATTTCCCACAACTACTTTGGAAGGATGCAGCTGGGGGAAAAGTCATGACGCAGAAATTTGCAAACGTTGTTTCCCAAGGTCTCCACCCAATACACAGTAAAAATGAGCAGTGCCCATGTCATGACAGTAATTACAGCAGGGAAACAAATTCTTCCCGAGTTCTGCTGCTGCTTTAGGCCTGGAACACACAGAAGCATGGGTTACTGCTGTTTGCTTTGCAGCTATTCGCTGGCCAGGAAAGAGGAAGGGTTAGGTATGTAGCAGGAAAGGCGCATACAGGAAACTGTAAATGGGAGCCAGGAAGGAAAAACAAGCATAGGAGGAGATTGTGAAAAAGGAAACAAGAGATGCAAAAAATATGTACATCCACAGATGTCAGAATGCAATATTTGAAAGCTGAGTGAAGTTAATGCATGTAATTGAAATTAAAAGTCCAGCCATTTATTATTTTCTAAAGCCTGAGTTCAGGACATAATGTCTGACCTTTATCCAATGGCCTGTAGGTATCAGACTGATGGGTTTTTCAGTTACCTGAAATAGGCGTATAGTTATACTAACAGAATTTGCTTCAGCAAAACATTTCACTAGAATTAAGTACTCTCTGTGTTCTTTGTTAAAGCAAGTCTGTAATGTAAAAAGATGAGTATGTTTTCATACATGTTAAAATTGTGCTTTGAAAAATGTTGTTATCGCAGTGTGTTACTGCACATACTACAAAAATTACTGCATTTCTCCAAACATAATTAAAATGGTCAAACCATGTTACACATGAAAGGCAGGTGCAGATCTCCCAGGGACAAGGCACAATACTCAGCAAATGGAAGCTTTGGCTTTAGGTAAAGCATAGCGTTACGACAGTGGGATCCCCGGGACACCGACACTGATCAAATGGGAACCCGACGCAGTGGAGCCCTGCTCGGGAGTGAAGCTCAAGGGAAAGCACCGCAGGGGTGGATAATAAGACTTGCACTGCTTAACGTATCGTGCATATGCACTGTCCTGTTAGGTTCGTTAGCAAACTTGCTGATGTAACGGAGGTGCTGTTGTCCGAATTCTGGGATCTGCAGCTGGCCTTCACGTTGGTGCCCCTGCGGGGTATGTGCAGGTGAGGGGGAAGTGAACTACCCCAGCTTACTGTAACGAGGAGATAAGACGTGCTTGGGACTCTACATACTCAGATGGGAGAGGTGAACTGTCCTGGGTTACCATAACAAAGTCTTCTCAAACCCTACAAACAGAATTCTGATTTCTTAAATGTAAACAAGTACTTCATTATCTAAAAATAATACCATTGCTAGTTTTAGCCTCCTGCCAGAGTCCTCTGTCTTTTTTCACAAAGAGAAATTTCTGTTTCTGGTTTCCTGGGAGTAACTATTTTAAACAAACAGTTTATTTATTAGTGGAAAAAAAATCCTTTAAAATTAATGTTACAGTTTAAAGATGAAGAAGATGTTCAGTGATGTGCAGTGGAACACAGGCTTCTGCATTTTGGACACACATCATACATTTTCTCATGCAGATGAAGATAGGAAGATTAAGTGGTGGCTTAGTTCTCTGTAAAGTAAGGCATGAGTTTAGTATTCCCTTGTTATTTTAAAACTGTTCCTACAACAGAATGTGCAAAGAGAAAAACATCTGCAAACCTTCAGGACAAGCTGAACATGTATGCACGTATAGAATAGACTATGGAAACTTGTCTTTTTAGGAAGTCTAAGTTGGCCGTCACTGTGTGGCATAAACCGGCAGGGATGCATTAATGGTATTCTAAATACTCTATTGTAGGCAAATAAACCTGGATAAATAATTTTTGGTCTTGGTAGTTGTCAAAGCTGATCTTTTTTTAGGTTAAATTATCTTTTTATTAACAGAAAAAATGCGATAATAAAACTTTAACCAGACTTTGACCTGAGCTTTTTTATCTCATTGATCTGAGGTTTAAAATATGCTTTTCACCAATTTCTCTCATTGCTACAAAAGACATTATTTCTTCTGTTCTTCAGCACACAAAAGGACAAGAGGTTTCATCAACTGATAGCGTGATTGTTTTGTTACTGGTGAAATCATGATGGGTTTCAGTACTGTGCTGTGTTGGACTTTGTAGCTCTGAATCAACATGTGAGCAAGTTAGTGTTTCCACACAAACAGAAATGTAAGTCTCACATTGAGTGCTGGTACCAAGAGGTATTGAATGTCCCAGTTGCTGCTGGGTGAAGGTTGAGTGCACATAGCCCCTCACCCACAGCAGCTCACAGATGCCGTTTTGAATGTATAAATGAAACCACTGATTGGAGCAGTGTGGAAAGCATGAAATCCACACTAACTTAAAACGATCTGCAAGGTGATGCTTTCTGAGAAATAAAGAATTGCGTACACCAGCCTGTTCCACTAATAAAATGTATTTTTGTAAGTGGGAAGGACTAGTGACACCATGAGTCCAGACACAACAGAGCTGCTTGTAAAAGTAGTACTGCTTGTATTTGGCTTTGCCATTTCTTTTTCTGTGAGTTGAATATTTTGGGAGAGTTCTTTTTTGACGTTAATATATCATGTATTCTTCTGCCCCATATGGCTATGATATTTCTATATGTAATAGCCTAACAGTTATATCTAGTGGCCAAAATCAGGTACCCAAATCACACATGATACCATATGATTACCAGTAGAGACAGCCACAGTTGAATCCCATGCTCTGTGAACCAAATTCAGAAGGGCCTTTTTGAGAAGAATAGTTTTTAATGGAAATCATGGATTTGTTGACACAGGGTGAAATTTTACAAAACATATGGCATTGGCAAACTTTGTTTTCTGTGAAGTCAGTGGGAAACTCACTGATACAAGCAGGAATGAGCCAGTGCTGAGCACTTTGAAAATTCCTCAAACTTCTTTTTGTTGGGGATGAGGGGAAGCTAGCTGTAGTGCTGCACAAAATTTACTAAGATAGTTTGTATATGTAAGCTGCTGCTTCAGTTATTTTCTTGAAGAGCTCATTACAGAGGTACTTAAGACCACTAGGATTGAGGCTAGAAAGACAAAAACTGACCCACGCTTGCAAATGTAGATCACACACCACAGCACATGAAGGCATGTAAAAAAATAAGCAAGGAAAACTATTTCACAGGGTTTTCTCTCCCCTTGCTTTCAGTTCTACAACATTAATACCGAGAACGTTTTTGTTCCAAAGCATTTGGGGAACAAACAGGTGGCAACTCTGCTGCCTACATGTCTCTTTACCTGGTACAGTAAAGACTTGATAATCTCCCCCACTGTTCCTAGGCATGCAGTCAAAAGTCCTTAATAGCAGAGGGTCATTATGAGTATGTCCTAGAGCGGCTTGGGGCAGTGCAATGCACAGTGATAAATGTCTACTCTTTAATTTACTTCCATTTACTTCTTTTTCCTTGTGCTATTTATCACATCCCTCTCCATCAATCAGAAAAGACTAAGCTTTCACCATTAAAAAAAAAAATACATAAGCTTTTTTCCAGGATTAAACATTTCGATCGTTTTATTTGCACAGCCACTAATTACTACCAGAATAGCACGATATTTTAGCTGTATGCAACCAGGCAGCTTACTCACAACAGGCATTGTTGTCTCCTGCAGTTTCTGAGGGGAATATCTTGATATTCATGGCAAATACCACACAATAACAAGAACTGCAGCTTGTAAAGTCTGTGATAGCAAGTGCGGATTTCTTGGGGTGGAGCATCAATGCCACTGTTATTTGGAAGATATTGTTTTGGCAGGCAGGCCTTTATAAATATTTAAATATTTATGTAAAAAGCAATGAAAAAATAAGATTTCATTCCCATTTTGCCTTGTTTTGCATTTTTGTTCCCAGCTCCTTGTGGTCAAAATGAAACCAGAGAAGATGGCAAAATAATCCAGCTACCTCCCTGCAAGACAGGAGCATGGATTGTTCCTGCCATCATGGCCTGTTACCTCTTGGTTGCAAACATCCTTTTGGTGAACCTCCTCATTGCTGTTTTCAAGTGAGTGACACATTGCAAAGTATGGACTTGGTGGGGATGGACATTATACACAGCCTAAGAAGGCTGCTAAGCTGAAGACTTTGGCTGAGACACATTTTCAAAGGATGTGAGGGTGAGAGGGAAAGAGGCATAGCTTGTCTCCAGGGAATGAAGGAAATGCCAAGTTCTTCACACGTCTCATTTCCAAGGACAGACACCCGATGGGAATCAGGGAAGAGAAGCCAAAAATATATAAAGTTCATTTATGGCATCATTCACTCCCGATATGGAAAACATGAATAAAAATACTTTCCTGTCTTGTTGGGTTGTTGTAAGAATCAGAGCAGATGTACACAGTAGTAAGATACTTTGAAATGGCTGACTGCAAGTGTGCTTTGCTGAAGCACAAACTTATTAATTTCTTTCCTTCTTCTTCCTCTTTTTTGCAACAAGGAAACATTTGCCACTTTTAGTGAAATGTGTCTAATTAAGGTGTTGTCATATCATCTTCAGCAAAGTACCCAAAACCATTTCAATCTGATGTTATTTTCCTTTTCTTGCCTTCTAGCAATACATTTTTTGAAGTCAAATCCATATCCAACCAAGTATGGAAGTTTCAAAGATATCAGCTGATCATGACATTTCATGAAAGACCTGTTCTCCCACCACCTCTGATCATTTTCAGCCATATGACTATGATATTCCAACACCTCTGCTGCAGATGGCGGAAGCATGAAAGCGACCCAGATGAGAGAGACTATGGATTAAGTAAGCCTTAGACAATTTACAGAGTGGGACTTTCCAATGCCCTTGGTAATATCTAGTGTTTGACATGAATGAAGGCTAAATCCAGCACCTTGGTAACATTTCCAACAGAGACCTACTTTTAACTGCAAAAATCTTACCTGAATCATTTAGTTTCACTTGCACTGCCCGACCCTTAGTTTTCCACCGAGTATTAATGGGGCTATGTTTTTCTGGGATTTTGGGGGGGGTTGTTCCCCCCTTTGTTCCTTTAAAGCAAGGGGGTTTGTTTTACTGTTGCTAGAGGTCTGTTATTGCTGAAATTCTTCTTACAGTTTATCGCACTTCCAGATCTCAGTTTTATTTCTGAAAATACACGTGCATTCCTACTTTTTGAGCAAACAGCACACACTTGCCCCCAGCACACTTTTTGCCTAGATAAGCTGAAAGATGGTGAGAAGTAATTATTTTGTAGATACATGTTCTCTCCTTGACACTGGTTCAAACTGGAGGAGTAGTTTCTCCAGACGCTTTTAATACAAACTCCTATAAGCATGATGGAAAACCTGCCAGATTATTTTGATAACATTTTCTCTCCTCTTCTCTATCTAGTTCTTCAAAGTAGCAGATCTCCACCTCCCCCAGTGTATATGCCAGAGGTGGGGAGCTAAGGGATGTGCATGTCTCCCCAACATTAGCCGATACCCCAGCCCACTTCTCTGTGAGGAGGGAGCTGGAGCCATGTGGTGGCACTGGAGATGGAAGTGCAACCTGACTGCTCTCCTCCCACTCACATCACACTGCCTGCCACAGCCTTTGCTGCTGCCTGCAGATATCAGCTCTTGCCATGTCAGATAGACCTTCTGTACTCTCAGACTCTTTTCCTAGCAGTCTGCTAATTTGAGTATATTTGTATTAGGTTACAGGTGGGCTTTGCCTCCCACTATCTCTCCAGGACCTGTCCAACAGCTGTGTTTAGATCTCATGCAATCAAAACACATTCATGTTTGCTCAGCATTTGCGCACTTAAGTGTTTCTGTCTCCAGAATCATATATAATTGAAGCCACTAATTTGGTAATTAGCTGCATCTATCTGCTTTCATACCAAAGTCCCAGGTAAATTCAAAGCCTGCTTTTGAAAGTTTAGCCCATGAATTCCACAATAAGAAGAATGTAATTAATTTCATATGTTAATCTTTGCCAAATTCACATTTTTCCATTGTTTCCACAGAACTTTTTATAACTGAGGATGAATTGAAAAAAGTCCATGATTTTGAAGAGCAGTGCATAGAAGAATATTTTAGAGAAAAGGATGACAGATTCAATTCCTCCAATGATGAAAGAATCCGTGTCACTTCAGAAAGGTGCACTTTTTTTGTTTGTTCTCTCATAGTTGATCTGGAAATGTGTTTCTGTTGCCGTTCTCACCCTTCCTTTCTTTTTCTTGAAAAGGGAAATATTTGAGGTATTTTTTTAATAATTCTTAACTAAAAAGTAGAGTGATAAAAGGTGGTGAATTTCTTTTCTCTGTTTTTCTTTTTTGCTATAGCAAATGTTCCTCAAAGTTTTGAAAATGTGAATCTTTTAACCAGTTGTATTAGAACACAACTGATGTAGTGAGAAACACAAATTATTCTTGCCTTTCGGTTCTTAAAGCAGAACTTTAGGGCACAAGTGGTCAGAACACAATGGGAGAGTAAATGAGAGCTCCTCAATGAAAATCATGGCTTTAGCCCTGACCTTCTAGACATTCAGATAAAGAGCGAGCCCTGTTGCAGGATGGCCTTGCTAGGTAAGCTAGTTTCATTGACAGCAACAGGGATCTTGCCATTAATTTAAAAGGAACTAGACATTTCACCTACAGCAATGAAATGCACAGAGGACAAAGGTAATACATTAATTTAGTGGAAGTTGCCACTCTTCAAATTCATCAGTTCTAAAAATTCATAAATCTGTTCATCTGCTGTGGTGCTTATATGCTTTCAACACACAGCAGCTGAGCAACAGAGTTAAGTTTAGAGGACAGAGTTAGTTGTTTGATTCTTAGCACTGTTACCAATAAATATTTTAGGGCAATATCCTGTCAGATATTCATAAAACTTATGAATCACTGAATACTCCATTCCCTGAATACTCCACTTTAATTTGTATAACAGAGGTCAGGTGAGTTGTCATTGTAATCAGTTACACAGATACAACACTCTTCTCCTTATACATAATCTTCTAGCACTGCCCCTCATGCAGCTATGACTAAAATATGTTTTCTGTAGGCAAGGAAACACACTTTTAATTTGGCTTTGAAACAAATCTATCCCAGAGCAGGATTAGCAGATATGATACCCTTTACTCATCTGCATTAATGAAAACAGCACTCCTAAAACACGTATTTTAGAAAAGGATATTAGAGGGGAAGCGTGGTAAGGCATGGAATGGCTTCCTCGTAAAGAATGGCCAAGTAATCTAGCTCTGCTTGGTCTGGAAGAGACAAACGGGGAATTAAATGATAGAGGTCTGTATAATTATGAGTGCAAGAAAAGGGTCAGTAGAAATCAGTTGTTTTCTGTTTCTCCCATAACAAGATATAGGGGAGCAACAGATTAATCTAGCAGGACCCAGGTTCAAAACAAACAAAAATAGGTGGTTTTTTCATGCAGTAAGTAGTAGAACAGAGCAAATTCTTGAAAGCTGATGAGGTATGAAACAAGCTGATGATGTCAGCTAAAAGTCTACATGGTTTCAAACAGACTAGACAAGCTTATGGAAGGGACTGCTAAATACATAGAGATCATATTGAGCCCATGAATTTCCTGAGCAGAAAATGTTTAGAGTGGAGAATATAAGGGGGGAAGAATTACATATGCTTCAAATTAAGATAGTGCGCTAATTCAATCTGTGGTCCAACTGAGTACTGTTTTTTCTTGTGTTCTCATAGTCCAGTGGTCAGAGAACTAACCTGAAAATCATAGATGCAGGTTCAAATCTCTGTTCGGGCATAGCTTTCCTTTTGGTAGCCAAGGAAAGAAGAGGTATGTTTGAAGCCTCTGTAAATAAGAAGTAATCCAGCTGAGACCTCCCCTACATTAGACTCGTGCTCTAAGTCCTTGAAAATGAATCTATAACAGTGACTTTGCACACTTTGCTGGCCCTGTTTTATAGGAAAAGAGCCCTTATCTCTATTTAAAATGAATGGCTTAAAGCACCTCATTCCAGAAGAGTTCACAATTATGAATCCTAAATGAAGACAAGTACCTGAGCCCCACAGAGAAATAGTTCTTAAAAATCTGTTTACTGTAGCCAATAGTGTAATGTGGAAACCAGCTGTGTAAGGGAGACCCATATACAACCCTATGGGGTACAGAGGCCACTCCTGGACCCAAGCACACTACTAGGACTTGCAGCAAGGAAATCACAGGTGAATGCAGTTCTCATTTCATAATAGCTCTTCTCTCCTTGCCAAACCAACTGCAATGCTCTACCACAGAAGGCAAGTGCAAATACTTCAAAGATCTGAGAAATACTTTAAAGATGTTTGAGGAATCAGGGCTATGTAGGTATCTTAAATAGCACGTTTTACAAACTGGATGACCAAGTCTGTCATTTTGCCTGCAGTTATGGACAGGGAAGTATCCCTTGAAGTGTTCTTAAACAGCAAAATTCTTTTTTCTAACCTGTGGAACATTCAAATATTTAAAATCCAGATTTGTACTCTGTGGTTTCTATATACAGATGTCTTTGTACGATTAACAAGATGTAAAGCAAAGAAAACAGAGAAGATGCAGGACTATAAAGTTTCTCTTCCAGTGTAGTAGTAGACCAAGCACATTAGCATGTAGTAGTAGACCAAGCACAATACCTACATTATAGCCATGAGATATCAGCTTAATCCAATTAACTCAGCTTTACATGGTGTAAAATTGAACCAGAAAGCCCTGCAAATATCAGTGAAGTTCCCCCTGAAGACATTCCATTTGCAGGAAGCTGAGAATGCTGTAAAGTTCAAGAAGGAAGGGCTGGGACAAGCCTGCTCTCTGCCTTCCCTCTCCTCTATGCATCTGTGATACACTCACCTCTTGCTTGAGCAGCTCCTACTTGCAGCTGCATTTATCAGAGTGTCCCAGGTCCTGCTTGGAGGAAGAACAGCTGCACACCATAGGTGCAAAGCACAGTACACCTGGAAGGAGGGAGTGGGGGGCTAGCACTGGCAGGATAACCGGAGGTGGGAACAGAGTCTTGCTTTGAGGTTCAGCCTAGGTGGGTCCCAGAAGCAGATAAGGAGCTCAGGAAAACAAAAGAACAAGAAATCCTGTTTCTTTCTGCATTGGCCTGGGTATAAATGAATGATTTCAGCTAAGTGGTCAGTGGCTGTGCTGGGTCAGGACCACAGCACCTTGTCTGACTCACCTACAACAAGCTGCAGTTTATACTATCACCTTGGAATAGTCCACCCTAACATCCCATGGGGCCTGTCTTGGTTCAGCAATCACCTCACTTGTAACAAAGAACACCACAGAGGTGTCCAGATCTGGTGTCACCACATAAAATCTCTCCTTTACCTGATCCTTTCACATTCAGAAGTTAGAAGCATGAAACGACACTTGATGTTAGTCCTTCCCTCACCCCAGGTACTAAGTACCTTGGAGGAGTAGCTCACTAGGTAGGATCTCACACAGGCACATGGAAGTAGCAGCAGGTTAGTGATACACATCAGAGGAAGTGATTGACTAAGAGGATAAATACAAAGTGGTACAAAGCTGTAAGGTGTTTCCCTTAACTGCATTTACTAGGCAAATCTTGGTGAATCTCCTGGAGACCTGTAAGGAAAGCAAAGTTGGACAAATTCACTTCATTGAATCACAACTTTTCCTGGAGACCCTTCCTTTCCAATCACTATGAAACTTTCAGCGGCACATTTTGACCAGCACAGAGACATGCATAATATGATCAAAAAAGACTGCACTACTTTTCTTGATCTGGCATGAAGCCACTAAAGCAATCTCTTCAATAGGCATTTTTTCCACCTGGACCAGTCTCGACTCTTTCAAACCCCATGCAAAACCTCTCCTTGATTCCAAATGGTGCAGGGTCACATCCTAGCAGTATTTAAAGAGCAGATAAGCTGGTTGGAGTAGATCTTATTATGTCATCCTCGGTACTATATGGTGTCCATTACTACAGCACCTTAATGCTTTATAGTCTGCAGTGCAATTGCACTAACAGCATCCATGTGAATGAAGACATAGTTAGTATCCTGATTTCACAGATGGCAGGCTGAAGTGCACAGAAATAGGTTTAGGTTGGTAAAAGGGCCACTACTGAGCCTACCGGATCCGGCCACACATGCAGAGTGACATTAGGAAAGGTCTGTGAATCCAATGGCAAATCTGTGGTCACAAGGAGTTAAGTGGTCTTAGGCTCCAGATGGGAACACAGCCAGGACAAGCCAACGTCCTTAGCCTGCAGAAACCACAGCACCTGGGAAAATTGGCTGGCTGCTTGCATCAGCAATGCTTCACCAAAAGACGTCAGGCAAAGTACCAGTAGCCTGTTACAGGCCTGGGAACTGCTACAGTTTATTTAAATAAAACCATTCTACAGTTGCCAATAACAAGCAGGGTGGATGCCCCTGTAAGTGACTTTCAGTGTCTATAGTCCTTCTGGCAGTTGAAAAGGATTTTGAAGTATAAATGATGCCTTAAAAAAGGACATAGGTCCACAAAAGAAGTTGTGAACCTAATTCTAGCATTCAATTAAGAGGCCTACTTCTGAAAAGAGTGCCTTACTCCCATTAAATCATTACTTCAATTAAATTATTGATGAACTGATATGCAAAGGTTAAAAATAAATAAAATCAAAATGAATGCCAGCAAAAGCCATCATCTCCCAAATCATAATTAAAAAGGCTTGTCACAGGTAAAATAAAATCTTTGCCAGGTTCCCAGTTCTGACCTTTTATTTTTTTCCTGGTTACTGAATATTGTCCTCAGATAGTCAATGTTTGTTTCACTGTTACAAATTTTTGAGATTCAGCTGAACACACTTGATGCACATTTTACACGTAGCCACCTCCTTTTCTGTTCTCATTCCCATCTGCTAGGATGGCTTGGCACCTTCTCATACACTGGATAAATCTTGCTGTAAGGAAAAGCACAGGTGCAATGGAGGCATCATGCATGGATATTGTGATATTTGCCAAAAGGTATCTCCAATGCAGATAGAAAAAAAATCCAAAGCAAAACTTGGGCATTCTTATCTTGAAATAGTGTTTTCATTCAAAACTGTTCCTGAAATACAGGTCTAGCTGTCTATTCACTGAGTGCAAGATCATCCAACAATATAGGAAAATAGAAAATTTCACTTATTAAAACATTTTAAGAACTAGATTTTGACTGTATTTCTCCAGAACATATCCTCTTCTGTCCACAGTGTTTGGCTGATATGATTTTATCATGTTTATAGTAGGATTACTCACAGAGCATGGTGCTGTTCTGTGTGATGAATGATTGCAGAACTGAACATCAAATTAATATGAGAGAATATCACTAATTAAAATAATAATATTTGTTAAAAAATCTGGGAGTGGCCATATGCAATATATGTTAAAAAAGGTGACTATTCAGCTAATAGCTTTGGGTTTGGAGATCATCATCACTCAAGCTTTCTTTTTGTGAATAAAATTATATAGCCAGGGCCCATCCTGTGTAAATACATGTATGTACTTCTCAGTTATCTATGCACATCTCTGGTTACCCCTGGTTTCTGAAGCCAGACTGCACTATCCTTATCTTGTTGAGTTTCTGTATAAATTTCCTACTACTATCAATCCAATCACAGCTGTGATTACTTCCATAGCAACCAACAAACCATGTAACTCAAAATTTTCTCTTCATCTTGGCCAGTAATACCACCAGTGTTAGACTCTGTGCCTCTGGCAGTAGCTAATAGATCATGTTCAGGGAAGGCAGGACAAATACATGAAGGTATGACTCTAGGTTCCTCCTGGGATGCATTAGTTGTGCATTGCTCAGCCCTCACATGAATGCAGGATGTAAAACTGATCTCACTATGGACAGTTCTGCTAACATTCCAGATACTAATATGTAACGAAGTGCAATAATTCAACTGTCTATGTTTGTATTAAAAATCATTTCACTTGTGTACATCTCTCAAAGCAAGAAAAAAAAAGAAAAAAAAAATAACCAAGACTATCCAGTAAGCTTCACAGAATATTATAAATTCATTGCAGTTCTTGGGTAACTGTTGCTGGGGTAAATTTTTTTGTTGGTTGTAGTCTAAGCATCCTCAAGTAAAATCCAAGAGATTTCTCAAATTGTTCCATATGTCTGACAGCCCTAAAATTGTGATGTTATATCTGTTCATGATCTTGGAGCAGTTGTTACAGAATATGAATGTGTGATGAGGCACTCACTTATTAGCTGATAAAAATTTCAAAAGTATAATTATTTTTATAAAATAGCAGTTCAGATAACTAATAACATGAGGGAAAATTTAACTGCTTCCCATATAAACTGCTCAGTCACTATGGAGTTATATCCTGTGCTTGCAATAATATTAATCTGTTTTGTTGGAGAAGTTGGTAAAACTAGAGGTAGACTGGTGCCTAAATGATAATAAGATGAGTAGAATGAGATTCTTTGAAACTGCTGGTTAATTTCTTAGCAGTGACTACTTGTTCATTCATCTATTGAAATCTGATGACAGCAATACAGTTAATGCTTCAAATTTGATTTGCTGTGTTTGTGCTCTCAAAACTCACGATCTTCAACAGAAAAAAACCATATTTCACAAGAATGTGAGACTTGCTGTAGGGAGTAGTGTCACACTCCTCCCTCTCCTCTCTTGTACGGGCAGGTTGCTGTTGCTCATCACCACAAGCTAGTCAGACCTCAGTGTTTCACCAGCTAACGTTCTGTGCATTAATTAACAAGGCATTAATGCTCCCCAATACTCATTCACTGCTAAAATCTGGTTTCCTTCTGGGCAAGTAAGAGTGTTTATGGTGTTGCCAGTTCCAGTTGACTCGTCCTGTTGGAAATTCAATTAGCAGTATTAGAAGATGATATTCATCTCATCAGAAATCCTGGCTATGATTGACGGGGCACCTATTAGCTTCTGAGTATGAATTGCACTAACAGGCAGAGACCAAGAGACTTGTGAAGAGAAAAGTGTGGAAATCCTGCCATTTGGTGTTTGTCACTTCTCTGTTCATTTTTCAGTGTCTACAGGAATGGGGAAAACCTGAACTATAACCTTAAAAATCAGACAAATGTAGCTATATAAATGTGTTGCTTTTAATACTACTTTGGCAGATAATGGAGGTCCCTGCTCTACCCTTGGGACTACAACCAGAGGAAAAAATTATGATAAGAAATTTCATATCTGCTAAAGGCAATTTCATTGTGTAAAATTAGAGGACTCCATGTAAATACTTCAGTAGAGATGTTGTAGAAGCCAGAAAACTGAAATGGATGAAAGCCACAGGCATAAATTAGTACACAATTCACCTTAAAGTCAAAAACATTTTAAAATGAGACAGATCAACAGTGTAGAACAGAAATACTGAAGTTTAAATTAGGATCACACATTCAATTATTACCTATTAATACCTTAATATAACTTTTTATTTATATATCATGATAGGTAGCTAATAAATAACTTTAAAATCCATCATTTCAATCCCTGAACTATTACACAGACTACCCAAAGCACAATCACAGTAATGGAGCAATCTTAGTGTGTGTACCCTATCGTAGGCTGTATTTGGTTTGATCAGTGTTCTCCTCCCTGCAGTTTTTATGCATACTTTACTTGATACTACCTACATCAATACAATAGCTGATACATTTTTTTTTCTAAATATGTGAGCTAAAAATTAATCAGATGACAAAGAGACTATCTCCTTAGGTCGACATAGCACTAGCTGGTGTAAATCTGGGGCGAACACCAGAAAAAAAAATGGGATGTTACCCGCCTTCTATGGCATATTGACCATTTGCATTACTTCATTTAGTTCTGCAGTTAACTGTGGTGGTCCTGCCTGTGGCACAACTGGGGACAATGTCATGTGGTGTCTGCTCTAAGCGTTATTCATTCATAACAATCTAATTAGAAGTTTTGTCAGCAGAAAGGCAGCAAATCATAGCAACATTTCTGTAATAACCCCTGTCCCTGGGATAGGGCACACCCAAAACCCCCTCTATGTTATGCAGCAGACACCCCTGGTTTAACCCACTGGAGCAGTTTCATAAGCGAGTAGTATTTGTTTGCTAAACCTCTTTTAGCAGGGTTTTGAAGCAGATGAGGTGGCATAGACTGGCTTTGAATTTTAAGGCCTCTTTGTTCCCATTTGTTTTGGTGACCTATTAGCTGAACACCACTGCTTTGTAGAAATTAACCTGTTTAATTCTTCCCTTTTTAAGGGTAGAGAACATGGCCATGCGACTGGAAGAAGTAAATGAGCGAGAGCACTGCATGAAAGCCTCTCTGCAGACCGTTGACATCAGGCTTGCTCAGCTGGAAGATATGATGGGACGAATGGTGACCGCCTTAGAAAAACTGACCGGCATAGACAGAGGTGAGACAACCAAGATACGATCCAGGACTTCATCTGACTGTACTGATGCAGCCTACATTGTGAGGCAGAGTAGCTTCAATAGTCAGGAAGGAAACACTTACAAGCTTCAAGAGAGCATAGATCCCACAGGAGAGGAGTCCATGTCCCCAACATCTCCTACAATCACACCCCGCATGCGAAGCCACTCTTTCTATGCAACAAATATGAAGGACAAGTGTGGGCTGGAAAAGTTTGAAAGCATTTTTAAGGAAAGATCTCCAAGCCTGCATCGGGCTATCAGTTCCCACTCGATAGCAAAAGAAGGAAAGGTTCCCTTAGCCCCCACCAGCACGTTGTCGATTGCCCCAGACTCCAGAAGGCCTTCATCTTGTATAGACATCTACGTTTCTGCCATGGATGAGATGCATTCTGACACAGAGCCTCTCGACAGCTCCATAAACATTCTTGGTACCGGAGATGCAGCTCTGCAGGCTCACATAGCCTCTTCCATTTTAGCTAACAGTGCATACGTTAGCGGTACACCTGGAGAAAAAATTTCTGGCAGGAGTCTTGATTACGAGGAAACGTCTGGAATAGAAACAAGAGCATTTTCTTCAGACTATTCACAAATCACAGATTGCCAAATCCCCTGGGATTCAGACCCTCCCTTGTATCACACTTTAGAGCGATCTAAAAGCAGTCGTTATCTGGCTACAACTCCATTTATTCTGGAGGAAACGCCAATTGTGAAATCTCACAGTTTTATGTTCTCTCCATCTCGAAGTTACTTCAGCAGTCTTGGTGTCCCAGTCAAAACAGCAGAGTACACAAGTATTACGGACTGCATAGACACAAGGTGCGTGAGCGCTCCCCAGGCCATCGCAGAGAGGGCCAGTTTCCCTGGAAGTCTTGGGGGAAAAGTGGAAGACTTGGGATGCTGCCACCCAGAGAGAGAAGCTGAACTAAGCCACCCAAGCTCTGATCATGAGGATATTGAGTCCAAAGACAAGAAGGGGGTCCTGTTACCTCCTCAAGACAGCACTGCTACAAGAACTCTGGCCAACAGCATCCCACTTCCAAAAATAGAGCGGGCCAACAGCTACTCTGCGGAGGAGTCTAACATGTTGTATGCACAGCACACACGGAAGAGCTACTCTATCAGTGACAAACTTGACAGACAGCGAAACACAACAGGCCTGCGAAACCCCTTCCAGAGGAGTAAGTCTTCAAGGCCAGAGAGCAGAGGAGACAACCTGTCCATGAGGAGACTGTCAAGAACAGGAGCCTTCCGCAGCTTCGAAAGCAAGCACAGCTAGGCCTAGACAAAGCTCACCAGCAGTCTAAGGGTCATCTGCTCTCCAGTCCATTTTTCTTAGAATTAAAAAAAAAAACCTCACGTCACCCCTTGTCAACTCCAGTTGGCATTAGCCACCGGTCAAGGGAGCACATTGTCAGTCTCAGCACGGCCCACTGAGTTACTGCATCTTGACCCAGTGGACATTTGCACTTAAGGAAAAAGGGAGGGATGAAAGCTTTACAAAGACTTCAGTAAACAACAGGAATAACAGCCCCCTTTATGAAGTCACAAGAAAAAAATGAGCAGATTCAGAAATCTGCCTTTTATTAGAAGGCATCCTAAGATCTTTGATCATTATTCAAGTTTTTAGGATGCAGGAATTAACTGGCAAAAAGAGATGTACAAATTAGATGTTCTAAACTTCAATCACGACTTCTTTTTCATCTGTTTCACTGTTGTGATGACTGATGAAAAGCATTTGTTATTTCTGTAGGAACTGGCAGCAAACAAACCTAAAGTCTCCCAAATCCCTTGCATCCCACACTTGTGGAAATGAAGAAAGATGAACAAGATAACAACCATAACGTTCACTTGTCTTTTTTTGTATCAGCTTCTAGTGCCACAAAAAGTTTATATTTTCGAGAGCAGAAAGGGAGATGAAATGCCTTTTGTACTGCAAAACAGTACATGGAGGAAGAATTTATGTTAAAGTATCAGGTGATTTCCTGTATAAAACAGGCATTCTAGATTCTAGCACAGCTGAGCAAGCTCAGGATGAATGTAATTAAGCGGAATAGTATATATTTATTTTTTTACCACATTTGTCATCAATATGTTGTCTCACTAAATCAAAGCATGTGATGGAACAGTAAGAACAGGGTAATGAGAGCAGAGCACAGTAATATTGTCAGGTTCTCACTGCTCCGTTTCATTATGTATACAAATTGGGGAGATTTATCCACCAGGCTGCTACCAGGGTCTTCTTGCTGTTCCATTTCAGCTGCCGATTTTTCACATCATTCCCTCACTAAAAATATACACCTTTTTTTTTTTTTCATGAGGACATGGCTGTATTTGAACATTTCAAAATATACAAGATTTATCAAGCAGTCTGAATCCAGATTAATGCAATTAGACTGAAGTTGCTTAAGGGAAAGTGTTCTTGGCAGAGGACTGGAAAACACTAAAAAGTACATGTGCTTTCAAGGTAAGTTAACCAAAGTGAAACTGCAGGTTTCTGTAAACAGCAAAAGCCAGCGGTTGCGACTAGGCTTCCACCGTTCAGCAGCATATCTCACAATGTGCATTTTAGTAGGAGAAAGTATATCTGAACGGTAGTGCAGTTACAGGCTTTGGTTGAAGACAGTCATAACTCCACTGACCCCATCCATGTTCCAAGGGTCCACAAAGTCAACCAGAGTTTCAAACTTCTCATGAGAAGATATCACAGTGGTCACAGGTAGAAGGGCATGCAGAAGATAGGAAAAGGGTGGAGAAGTATAAACTGCAACTGGATCAAAATTTCACATCCTTTATGAAGGCACAACTTTAAAGCTTGTAAAGATTTGAAGCTAGTGCTATTAAAAATTAAAACATCTCTACAATGACCAACACCTGTGTAGAACCAGCTCCTTTTTGTTATCAAAAATGAATACATGTGAGTGGGGTACATACTTCCCATTATTTAAATGGGAATTATCTTCCAAATCTCTAAGGCAGCTTTGAAAATGCAGGCTGACGTTTTCTCACTGGGATCTCACCCTGGGAGACTCTGAGCACTGTACGAGAGCTAAGTCTGAAAGGCAACAAACACAGACATAAAAATTATCATCAGCCTCAAGAAAAGAGGCAAAGAAGGTGAAAACATTTAGGTACTGAGTCACTACGTGGGAAAGTTCAGGAAATAAAGAAATGCAGCATGGGGACTTTAAGCACAATGCGTTTCATACTTCCTGGACCAACGTGTTCCTTGCTTTCTTCTATTTGATCAGGCTTTCAATGTGCTAAATTCCACCAAGACACCGTGTTTATGCAATTGCCTTGCAGTCCATGTGCAGCGTTACGGTCACATGGCAACACCGAGAAAGGTCAAAAACCTTTCTGTGCATTATGAAGCATGCTTGTGACAGGCTGATTGTTGAACAATAGCAAAACGCCCAGGGGCAAAGGAACTGGTGTTTAACAATCTGCTTCAAATGTGCCAACTTTTGTTAGCAGCCTTTTCCTAAGGCTTCTCCAAATCTATCTATCCTTGGTGAGTAGAGGGGGATATTCTCACTTTGTTTTCTTTGCTACTTTTAAGAATGTCTGCTAAAACTGTTCATGGACTCTTCCACCTTCACCATATTACTGGCCTACTCTAGAGGAACTTCAGATTCATTAGAAATTCCTCAACAGCGTTTAGTGAATTAAGGCATAGGGCTGTCCTCTGGGGTAGATTTCATTGCTTAGTTTGTCAGGGTAAAGGAATTTGCCAAACCCAGAAGCTGTATAAATGTTTAGAATACAGCACTTTATTGATCTGGAGCACACATTCCAGGTAAAATGAAACAGGACACTTTATTTACCTCTTAAAATTTGCCATTATATATAAAATGTAAATTCAGATGTTAAAAGTGTGATTGCAAGATATCAGAACACTACTTTTCCTGAATGTTTCCCATTTATTCTACAATGTGGTGTCTATAGAATATATTATGATGGATGTTAGATTATTTTATCTTCACTTGTTTTTTACACATTGCATCAAACTGCTCCTTTTTGAATTTGATGGTAAAACACCCATTCCTTGCAATGGGAACAGATTTCCCACTCCTGATATTATGACCATGTAGTTAGAGTAGAAGTTTTATCATCCATCATCATGTAGCTATAGCATGTGCCATATGACATATTCTGTATCAAAGGATAGCTTATGAAATAGATATATATATACACATATATACATATCTCCCATATATAAACCAGTATATTTGTGACATGTGGTAATATTAGTGAACGTTACAGGACAGTTTTAATATCACATTATAAGGTCTTGTTTGTAAATCTGTAACATTCAATAAAATAGCACATGTTGCATCAAGCATTAAGTTCCACTATCCAATTATTAGCTTACATATGGAATATGCATTTTTGGTCACAGTGTGTAAGTTCGGTATGTTTCACACATTTCTCTGTATAGCTCCACATAAATGTCTGTATGAGCTGATGTATAAACCTCTAATGAGCCACTGTGGGCTGTGACAGGTGAGTTGTGATAGTGTGAAAGATGAACTGGCATGTTATGCAAAAGATTATAAGATAAATGAACTTTAATAATATTTTGAAACTCAACTGAACTTAGCTGTTTGTTTACATATGCTGGCCGACTGAGGAAGCGGTGTACAGTATTTTATAAATATTTTCCTATAGTAATCCGTTCTGTTGTTTCCAGTTTAAGTAACGCTATTCTACAGTTGGGGTATACACTTGTCCTAGGTATTGGATTATAGCACATTATTCTTTCACAATAACAGTGTGATATGACTGAAGTAGTTTCTCTTCCTTACAGTCCAGTCTTTTTTTGTGTCAGTGAAAATGCATGCATTGTTCCATGAGTTTCTTTGGACTACTATGAAACTTAACATTTTGCTATTGCCTGCCTGTAAAGATGAATCCAGTTAGGAATGAATTCAAGCTTTTGGATGTTTACATTATTTCCATTATGTTTGATCTTTAGCAAAGTAAGTGATTTTTTTATTATTTTTAAATGACAATTGTATTTTATGAAATTGAAATATTCAACACAAAATGCGAACCTACAGCAGTGCTCAGACATTTGGCTCTCTCTTTTTTTGGAAGAGATAAGGTGCTACATTATTGTTCTTAGCACAAGTGCCAGTTAACAAATGGCAGTGAGGGGATAATTTGAAAATACAATGAAAAACCAAAACATCCATTCATCCACATAAGGAAATCCCTCTGGGTTCCAGATATAGATTGCTTTTTTTCATTTTCCATTTATAGATTTTTTGGTAAAAAAACTGATTTGTACCTTTTGTGGAATGGATAGCCTTTTGTCAGGGGATAAATATCTTAGTTAGGTATATTTTTTGTATGAGAAGATAATGATTTGTTTCTTAGAAACTGTCAGTGCATGGAAAACGCAGCTACACAAATAACTGCTAAAAAAAAGTGCTGGTAGCAGCACACAGCCTTAGTCCAATGACTGCAGTCGGAGCAAACAAGCATCTGTCCTGAGAGCAGAAGTTATCAAAGGTATTAGCTTAGAGTGAGCCAGTGAAACAAAATTCTCTGTAAACTCATGGTGCAAATTTTCAAAACAAGCATAAATGTCTTGTTATGTTGCTCAGGTTATATACGTAAGAGGATCTGATAATCACCAGAAGGGAAAATGTGAGCTGGTCATTCCTGGATTTCCCTAGGAATACTTAAGTAGTTGTGATGTCTCTCCCCTACTTAAAAATAATAGTATATTTGCATTTTTGCACAAATATGTACAATTGTTTCAACAGAGGCCACATTTTCAGTTCTGTTAAAAGATAGCAGGTATACATCATCTTCTTCAAAAGAAATGGGTAAGCTTCCTAGCATCAATTTTCCTTCATCCACCTCAAGTAACAGCACAGTCCAAACTGGACAGAAGTGAAGCGTTGGGGGTGTCTGCTTACCTAATGAAACCCCTCATTCCTCTAGATGGTATTCACTGGCCTTGCCACACATTGGCATAAAAGCAGTAGTGCTGAATGTGGAAGGAGTGAGTTTCTGCCCCACAGTGAGAGTTATCCTGCTTCATAGCCAGTCACAGGGTGAACACTACAGGTCACACAGGCTTCTCTTCTCTGAGACTGACTACGATTATGCTGGTGCAAATCTGCGGAAAATCCACTGATTTTAGTGAAGTACCCTGACTTTTGTCAGAGGATGGATTTATTCTGCATTTCTAACTCTGTATTACTTTGAGTCATGGCACACATTATCCTAAATCATCATCAAGTGGGAAGTCTAATGACTGAGCCATTGAGCCACACTGGTTGTGAAACAGTCTCTGACCTTTTAATTTTTGCTGTATGCTTTCAGATCTCTTGTAGAGCCACACAGTACTTATTTCAAAAAGCTATTAGGAAAAAATGTTTGATTATGAAATTGCTGCTGTTTCTGCTGCAGGGAAGTGATAACTCTTGTTTATTCTAGTATTTGGTAGGGAGGGGAAGGGACAGAAGTGGGAATTGGCTGTGAAATACAATTTTATGCCTGCACAAGAGTAAATTGTATTAAAGTTATATCCTTCTTCCACCACTGCAGTTGTTGTACATGAGGAGAGTCTATATGCTGCTACTGCTGTCTGGAACAGTGTTTGCAATATACTATACTAATAGCTATTTAGTCGTTTATTATTTGGGCTATCATTTGTAAGTGTATAACAATCATTTATAAAGGGAGAAAAATGATTA